ATAACAGGAAATGTATGAAGAAGTAATAACTGCTATGCAATGACTCAAAACAGACTCAAAACTCAGTGTGATGCATTATGACTTTGCGGGCCACTTCTGATTGACGGGTCAAAAATTGACTCTCTGAAGAGCAAGTATGGAAGCAGAATTGATTGATAAGGAGGCTAGTCTTTTGAAGATGGGAACAGAGTGAGGAGAGAGAGCATTTTAGGCTAACTGTGACTAAGGCATAGCCCTTAACCTGGTGGGAAAGAATTGGGCATGTTTGAGGAACTGAAAGAAGACCAAAATAGTATGTTCTTCGTGGATGAGAGAATTGGGATGTGTGAGATAAGATCAGGTCGAGGAGGGAGACAGGGTTGGGGGCCAGAGTAACAAATTCAGATTTTATTCTAGCTTCTAGAGCCCATGCAAAATTTAAGATGGGAGGTGTTAAGTGAATATTCTCTAAATATAAATTAGATTCAGGGGATTGATGTGATCTTCCACGTCTTTACTGATTTTAGGCCTACTTGTCTGTAAGTTGCTGAGATTGTAGAATTGTCTGTTCTTTATCTTGTCATTTTAAAAATGTATTTGAAGTGTGTTATTACATTCATATGCATTTATGATTGTTATGTCTCTTCATGTAAAATGTCCCTCTTCATTGCTTGTCATAGTCTTTGTCTTGAAAATGACTTCACTGGATATTATTAGAGCTATTTAGTCTCTTTTTGCTTATTGTTTTCATGATAAATCTTTTCCTTTCTACTTTCAACCAGTGTTTTCATATATAAAGTCTTTTTCTTTGAGACAAATATAAAAGTGTCTTGCTCACCACCTCTCACCCATTTCTGATAATGTCTGTATTTTAGTGGAATAATTTTAGATACTATGTTTATCCTTTGTGGGGTTTGCTGACATTCCTGAAATCTGTAAATTCATATCTTTCACCAAATCTAGTGAAATTTGAGCCATTATCCTTATGCATTTTTCTACCTCAGTCTCTTTCCCTTTCTGGGACTCCAGTTACATGTGTGTTTGATTTTTGAATATAATGCCAAATATTACTGATGCTCTGTTCAATTTTTTCACTCAAATATATACTTTTCTGTTCTTCAGATGGGGTAATTTTTATGGATCGGTCTTTAAATTCATTGACTCTTTTGGCATCTCTACTTTGCTATTATGTCCACCCATTGAATTTTTTATTTCAGATGTATGTTTTAGTTATAAAATTTCCATTTGGTTTTTCTCATAGTTAATATGTTTCTGCTGCTATTTCCTATCTTTTAATTCATTACATGCATATCTCTTGTTATGTCTTTGAGTATAGTTCTAATAGCTGCATCCATCAGCGTCATCTTGGTTGGAATGGTCTTCATTTATGGTGTTTTCTCTTGCACGTGGGCCACATTTTCCTGTTTCTTGATATGTAGAATAATTTTAGATTGTATCTTGTACATTGGGATTGATATATTAATAGATGCTCTAAACTCTGTATATTTCTTCAAAGGGTATTGATTTTTTGTTTTAGCAGTTAACTCATCTTACTAGATTTCAAAAACTCTGTCTTCTTATACAGTGAATAGCAGCTGAATCTCGCTCAGTTCTTTTAGCTTTAGCTGAAATGCTTTGGATCTGCCAAGGCTTGCATGTCATTATCGGGTCCAACAGAGATGTTGACAGAATGTATATACAGAATTTTGGAGCTCTGACTCTCTGGCTATTTATTTTCAGGAATATCCTCTCTTACTTTCTGGCTTTTGTTCGATGCCCCTTCCCTATTACGTATATATACTTTTGGTCACTCCGGCTTGTGCTCAGTGTAGTTGGGTCTTATATATGTCCAGTATTTACAGTTGTTTTCTCAGGATAATTGGTCCCTTAGCAGTTATTTGGCTATTACCTAAAGCAGAGCCTGGGTCTATGACATATTTTGAATGTAAAAACAATATGATTGTCTGATTAATTGGATGTAGGAGGCAGTAGAAGCAGGAGTGTGAGCAAAAGAGCAGGAATCAAAGATGATTATTTCTTCTTTGGCTTAAGCAATTGGGAGGATGGTTTTAGTCATGTTTGTGATAAAGAAGACTAGGGAAAGAGCATGCTTGGCTGGGGTAGAGAGGATATAGAAATGTCAAATGGATGGTTAGATATTTAGAATCTGGAGCTCAGAGGAAGAAGCGAGTACTAGGGATCCTGACTTAGACATCAGAATGTAATTGATATTTTAACCTGTGGGACTGAAAATTTTTACCTTACAGTAATACAGCAGGTGAAAAAGGGGTACTCTGGCACCATGCTCTGAGGCATATCAGAATTTAGAAGTCCAACAGTGGAGGAAGAACTACCAAAGGAGACTGAGGAAGTGAGGCCAGTGTGGCAAGCCTCTGGAGAGTGTAGATCACACAAGTCAGAAAAGCAAAGCTGCCAAGAAGGTGGGAAGGACAGCTGAGTTGAATGCTTGCTGCAGAGTCAGTGGAGCTACAGACAAAAGAGAGACCCTTGATTGGGCAAGCAGAGGCCATTAGTGGCTTCACAAGGCCCTCTTCCTAAAATGGTAGTGAGAAAGTGAGATATGATAGCTGTGGACCAAAAGTGCTTGCTCTTAGGCTTCTACTTATTCAGGCTACATGTTCAGCTGTGAGCTTTGTAACCACCCAAGCAGAAAGGTACTGCATGGCCAGTGCATGCTCAACCTTGATGATGATACTTCTTTTCTGTTCAGGGGGAGACTTTTCACCTTGAGCTTGGGCTGCTACTTGCTCAGGTTACCTGGTCAACCTAACTGCCTAAATTAGAGGGGGCATTTTTCATGCACAAGCTACAATAAGATCATCCCATCTAGAGCCAATTGATAGTTGACTGCGTGTTCTTTAATTAGTGGTCTTCCTGATAATAGGGAGTTAATTTTGAATTACAGTCACAGATACTCAGACACTTTAGGCTTTTCCTTTGCCTACTAAGAGTTCCTTTTCTGTTGTTCACTTTGGAGTTTATGAGGCACAGATCTCTTAATAAAGCTCGTATTGTGGTTCAGAGTATCTTTTGTCCAAGAAACTAGAATGTTCCATGGCATTGGATTATTACAGTTCATGGAAAACTTCCATACTATCAGCATTTGTTTAAACAGGTGTCAACTTGCTTTCTAGGTGCCCTGGAACACAGCCTTATGTTGCATTACATTTGCTTTCAAGGATAATAATTCCATGAAGGCTTATTATTTCTTGACTTTGTTTAGTGTTTAGGCAGAAATGTTTCCTTTCATTTACTAACAGTCTACCTGTTTTATCCCTGAATTCTGTATTGACCTTTGGACCTGCCCCCCCCCTTTTTTAGAGATTTTATTTTCTTATTTGAGAGAGAGAAAGAGCACAGAGAAGGGGGGAGAAGTAGAGGGGGAGAGAGAAGCAGACTCTTTGCTGAGCAGGGAACCTGATGTAGGGCTCCATCCCAGGACCCTGAGATCATGACCTGAGCCAAAGGCAAACACTTAATGGACTGAGCCACCCAGGCGCCCCTGGACTACATAAAATTAAAACAACAAAAGAAATAAACCAAACCAGATCCTCTGTTTATTTTCTGACTCTACTTCAGATTTTGGTGTTTGGCTTTTGTTGCCTCCCAGTACCATATTTGTGTCTGGCATGGTATTTGAACTCTTTAGATTTGTTCTTAATTAACTCAGGGTGGTGAACCCTGGATCTTTTGGTAATGCCAACACTGCTGGATTGCTGCTTCCTTAGAAAAATCTTTTCTCGTTGGATGGAGTATAACCTACTCCAGTTGGCCTGCCTTCGTGGCAGACTTTATTGCCTCTTCCAAGACTCCCTTCTAAGCCCTGGCTGTCACAGACTTGTGAATCTTATTGTAACAATATGGCCCCAGTAATTTCTCCATGTGTGAGCCAGCTGGCCTTCACCTGGGCCCTCAGTATTTCACACACCCAGTTCCCTGCCGACTATGCCCTTTCTTTATCAGTAATTCTTATAGGATTTACAGGTTTTGATTTCAGAACTATCCCAGCCTTATTGCAAAAAGGCAACTTTCATTTCTATTCTATCATCCCAGAATAAAGAACACTCAGATATTATGAAAGTCAATGTAAACAACTGCCTATCTGTTGAAAACTTTGTTCCCAAAAGTAAGTCATTTGTTTAAAGAGGTGTCATTTTATTGAAGATCTTTGATGCAGTCTTCCTGCTAACTCCATATTTCATTTGTGCCCTCATTCTCTTGTCTTTTGGATTAAAAGTATTTCTGTAAATAAATAAAAGAAACACTCTGATCTAGCAGCTTCTATTACCAGATTAGAGGGATTGGGGCTAGTTCTACATAAAGCAAGTATTTCTAAAGCATGATTTTTATTATTTGGCTGTCTTAACACTGTTCTGATTGACTTCCCTAATAAGTTAGCAAAATATCTGTTTGAAGTAACCTATTTATTAATACTTTATTGTGCAGCTGAGGCTCCAACCTGAAAAAAAAAAACAACAGTGCTTTTCATCTATGGGTTAATGCCTTTCTAAAATATTCAGTTGATTTTTTAAAGGGATCCTTGCAGGAATTTTGACTATTTTGACTATGTATTTTTTCTTTTGTTTTGTAATGTTGTAGTTGAATGAGAACGATCCCCATGATAAGTCTTAGAAACTGAATTACAGCCAGATTTAAATGGTTTTTGCTCCGGAGAGGGGAGTTGGCAAGGACGAATGGCCTCTGGCTGGTATATTGTAAGATAATTGTAACCATGGCAGTATTTGTTTCCTAATATTGTCCTTCTAAATTTAAGTGACGAGTTTCATCATAGGAAAAAACCCATTTGTATGTTTCAAGTTGCATTTAAATTATCCCAACTTCATTATTCCAACATTAGAAGTAGTTTCCTGTAGAGTAGCCGGTTCAGCAATTTGCTTAATCTCCTGTGGAAGTGGTTTTTACCCGGGCGAGTAATATCTTTTAATAAAGTGAGTTTTCTGGGAAGATATACCTAACCATGGTAACTTTGAAAAATCTAGATAAAAGAATACGAGAAGCTAGAGAACGAGGAAGATCGCCTTTGCAGAAGCCGGCAAATTTACGACACCTACATCATGAAGGAGCTGCTGTCTTGTTCACACGTGAGTATTTCTTTTTGTTCTCTGCCTTTAGTTTGGATAGAAGATAGCTCGCAGCGTTTCCAGAAAGTAAAATAGAAGGCAGAAGTTTAAATATCGAACAATACTCCGCCCAGGACATGACCCATGTCTTCTCTTCTGTCATTTATTTCCTGGTAATGCTGACACAAAGTTGTTGCTCCATCTACTCCAAGCTTATTTCCAAAAGTGGATTCTTTCATGGCAAAAAAAAAAAAAAAAAAAAAAAAAAAAAAGAAAGAAAAAAAATTGATAGCTCATGCAAATCAACAGAAAAAAAAAAGGACAGTCTCAATTCCAGGCTTTCTAAAGGAAATTAAAGTTTATTATTGTTAATTTGGCTGTACTTTAATTAGGCTAATCAAATATTGATCAATATAAATCTTAAATAGTTTCTTTGGATTAGTGAGAAGATTATAATTATTATGTTAATTTTATTAATAGTTAAATAGTGGTAGAAATATTTCTTCCCCCTGTAAATCAGATAAATAATCCATTCAGTCATTAGAATAAACTAGGTTCCTAAGAAATTATTCTACCAGGAGTGAGTGGAATATAATTAGATAATAAAAATTTACCACATAATATCTCTGAGAGAGCTTTCTGAAGGAGTGGCCTCACAGTCCTGGCCTGTGGGTCCAATACAGGAGCCACTCGCCCAAGGGGCTATTTAAATATAGATTTGAATTAATTGAAATCCAATGGAGTTAAAAATTTAACTCCTCAGCTCCTCATGAGCCACATTTCAAGTGCTCGATAGCTGCACGTGGCTGGTGGCTCCGGTATTGGACAGCACAGATACACAGCATTACTGTCACTGCAGGAAGTTGAAGAGGACAGCACTGGCCATGATAATGATTTATTTTAGTGCTTCTATAGTTACTGTGTCATTCACAGTTCTTACTGATATTTGAATAACTGTAGCTGGTGGCACCGCTTGTGCCATATATTTCTTTGTTATTCTCACCTAACTTGTAGCAGATGGTTGATGCTCTGTGCCTTGCTACCTTGCTGGAGAATGGTTGAACCTTGGAAAATGCCAGATGTTCCATGAAGATGCTACTGAAACTTAGTTTTCATGTAGCTCAGCAAATTTAGAGGGTATTTAGCAGTATGATGGGCATTTTAAACTTTTCTTCTTATGGTGCATTATCAAAGAAGGCATAATTTGAAGTTTGGAGGAAGAATAGTATGTGTAGTTCTTGCTGGTGTAAGCTCTATGTTTTTAGAGCAAGTTCCCCTCTGCTCTGGTCACAGCAAGGCTTTTCTTTACAGCCTTCACCACCCTGGATTTTAATTCTTAAATGGATTTTCTTTCTTTCTTTCTTTAGTTCGTTTGTTCGTTCTTTCTTTTAAAGATTTATTTATTTATTCATGAGAGACACAGACTGAGAGAGAGAGGCAGAGACATAGGCAGAGGGAGAAGCAGGCTTCTCACAGGGAGCCCGATGCGGGACTCGATTCTTGACCCCGGGATCATGATCTGAGCCGAAAGCAGGTGCACAACCGTTCAGCCAGCCAGGCATCCCAAATTCTTAAACGGATTTTCATGCATTTGTTTTCTTTTCTTTTCTTTTTTTCTTTTAAATATTTTATTTATTTATTTATTTATTTATTTATTTATTTGAGAGTGCAAACTTGCAAGCATGAGCAGGGAGAGGGTGAGGGAGGAGCAGACACTCTACTGAGCAGGATGCCTGATGCAGGGCTCAATCCCAGAATCCCAAGATTGTGACCTGAGCCGAAGGCAGACTCTTAACTGGCTGAACCACCCAGGGTCCCCTGTCTTCTCTTATACAGTGGAAATTTTACATTTCTAATTTTATGTTTCTAATTTTTACATTAACTAATTAAGGGATGTATACATTTAATAAGGTGATAATGAGATTCTCTATACTTCTTAAAAAAAATCATGATAGTCTTAAACTCTTGTGGGATTAGGTATGCCCATCAGATGCCCCCGTGCTCATCATCCTTCTTGATATGGTATCTAAGAACTTCTGAAGCTCAGAGGAACAAGCATCTGTTTGGATTGCCCATAGATACCCAACTGATTTTTAAAGAATGCATGTCAATATAATTATCATAGGCTCCTGCTTAGTAGTTGTGTTAAATTATGTGTTGTGGTATTGTGTAACATAGAGGTTTATTATGTTTTATATTTGTGGAAAAAAATAACTTTTTTGATTATTTTTTGAAAAGCCATTCTCAAAGCAAGCCGTAGAACATGTACAAAGTCACCTATCCAAGAAACAAGTGACATCAACTCTTTTCCAGGTAAGACAAAATTATTTCAAAATAAATACAGTTGACCCTTGAACAACACAGGGATTGGGATGCTGACCCCCATGCAATCAAAAATCCATATACAACTTTTGGCTTCTACCTCCAAACTTTACTAAAAGCCTCCTGTTGACTGGAAGCCTTACCAATAACATGAACAGTCAATTATCACATAGTTAAAAAATATTAAGAAAATTATAAGGAAAATACATTTATAGTATTATATATGAAAAATCAATGTGGGCCTGCATCATTCAGACTCATGCAAGACTGTTTAGACTGTTTTCCATAAAGGGATGCACACTGCCCAAGTGAGTCATGAGCCCTTCATCCTGGTCTAGTTGTGAATTTCCTCAGAGACCTTGGGAAGGCACCTGCCCACAGTGCCGCAGCCTCCTGTGCAAAATGAGGAGAGGGATTAATTCTTTCCTATTGTTACCTTTAGCTCTATGATTCTAAGAGGTAGAAAGTTAATAAGTAAAATAGCTAATCTAAGGAATAGATTACCCCATGGATCCATTAGCTTTTAGTCTTTAGAACTCAATATCAGTGCTGATTATCAACACTTTTAGTCATTTATAGAATATGCTATGTAACTTCCAGGGCCCAGCACAGCATGAAAAACATGGGGCCCTTTGTTCAGAAATTAAGAATTTCAAATGGCGACAGCAGGGACACTAAACCAATCTCTATGCTCTTCTGAATGTGAACCCTGTGGAACTGCATGGGTCACATGCCCAGAAAACTGACTGGGCACTTGGGAAGTGGCTGTGACTTTCCAGGAACCATGTTAGGCAGTAGAGGTGCAGTGGCAAACAGATCAGACCTGTCCATACCTTCATAGACTATGCAGTTGAGCTGTAGATAACTATTAAATAAATAACCACGGTGATGAATCTGTTACTAAAAACTGGACAAATGCCAAAAAGAGCAAGTGTAAGAGTGGGAGCTGCAGCTTGTCTGAGTCTTGTCAGTATGTGTTCTACGTTTCTGTTTATGCAGTGTGTGATTTCTTTTTCATCCCTTCCAGCCCTACATAGAAGAAATTTGTGAAAGCCTTCGAGGCAACATTTTCCAAAAATTTATGGAAAGGTATGAAACTTCATGTATATATATATAACATTTTTTTGAGTTATACTTGATATGTAACATTATACTAAAATGTTAGTATGGGAAGCCCGGGTGGCTCAGCGGTTTAGCGCCTGCCTTCGGCCTAGCGTGTAATCCTGGAGTCCTGGGATCGAGTTCTACATCGGGCTCCCTGCATGGAGCCTGCTTCTCCCTCTGCCTGTGTCTTTGCTTCTCTCTCTCTGCGTTTCTCATGAGTAAATAAATAAAATCTTTAAAAAAAAATGTTGGTATATATACATATATAAAATCTTGTATTATAGCTGTACCTCATTTTACCCAAAGAGCACTATCCTTAAAATGGGTATCGATTTAATCATGCGAAGTACTTACCAAGCATGTACCATGTGCCAGGCTTTGCATTAGACTGTCACCTCAGTACTTTACATTATTATTTAGGATTTGTATATCTAAAAAAAAAAAAAAAAAAGGATTTGTATATCTTTTTTTTTTTAAGGATTTTATATATTGATGTCTCTTTGAACCTGTAGCTCTTTAGCCTCAAAATGCTCTAAAGTTTAAATAGACTATGAAACCACAATATTAAAATTATCTTATTGGGACACCTTTTCTAATGCACGTATGGTTCTGTGACCTATCTGATTCATTTGTTTGCACTTGGAGATCCTATCCCCCCAAGGTGGGACAAGCCTGCACTTGATTCTTTATGTAATTTAATTTGAGGGTCTAGGGAGATGTCTGTGGTCACATATATTATTAATATCCCTAATAAATACGTTCCTTGAGCCACTCAAACTATATGTGTATGTTTGTCATACAAAACCCTGAAAATGTTCAGTGATGCCCATGAAAGTGGCCAGCTCATATGCCTTTCTGGCACCCAGCAGTCATTTCATTGAGGTTTTGAGTATTCCTCTGAGATAATGTGCCGCTGGAACTGGGACTCTCTTAAACAGAATGTGCTTTCACACTGACTGTGCTCTTCTCCACAAACTCGGCTAATTTCTAGACAATCACCGTGATGATCATGTCTCGGTGCTGGAACAGCCCACAGCTGTTCCCTAATTGCCCTGGAAGAACAAATATTGCTTCTCTGCAGCTTCTTTTCCTCCACATATTCGCAGAACTAAAGTAATTAAAAAAGAAAAAGAAAAAGTTGTGTTGTGATGCCACAAGAGTTCAAGAGATAATTTTATCCTGGAGTAGAATTAGTACTTTGGGAAACTAATATGCATACAAATGATTATTACCCTTTTCTGAGTAGGAGCAGAGACTGCGGGAAAGCAGTGGCTCACGCTGAGGGGATAGGCTGGCTGCATCTTAGTGGGGTCTGGCTTACACTGTCTCCAGTACTATTAGCTCAAAAATCTGACCTTTCCCAGCTCTTGGGTTAGTCGAGCTTCTGTGCAATCATTGGAGAAGAGGGGAGAAATGAGGATGGGAATTATAATTGGGGAGGAGGTCTTGTAGCTCTTTCTTTGCTGATGGGCCACCAGGTCAGCCCGCAATTTCATTTTGTCCCACTGGGTGAACTTTTTTGCTCTTATTACCGCAAGAAATCCAAGCTGTTTGTGTTTTAGGCAAGTAGGTACACTGGATTTTCTGAAGTCATTAACCATGTTATGTAAATTATTTTCAAAGCAAATGTCTTCCATTTTTATCCATTTCAAGTTCTTTTCGTGTTAATACATTTTCAAATGAGAACTTAAAAACTCTATTGTGAGACCGAGTTTCAAGTCTGGGTTTTGAAAAGCATGGACATTCTCTAAATAGAACCTTGTATTAGAGCCTCATCAGGACTGGCCACACTCACTGCCGGCCTCACAGGAAAGATGATTTCTCAGTCTGATCATAAAGGGGAAATCTTCAGCTATGCTAGGGCTCATCTCTGCCTTCACCTGAGGCCAGCAGAGGCACAGGGCTGATAAGTTCCAGGCTGTGCTGAATCTGAGAAGGAGGCTTTCCCTCTCCTGGATGAGGTTTGGTAGCCTCTGTCAGGCAGTGAACTTCAATTGCCCAGCAATCTAAAGCTCAAGTCATGGACTGGGGTTAAAAATGCTTCCTCTACCCTACCCTCACTGCACCCCTGGCATTTCTGTATCGGTAACCTCTAACATTCCATCCTCTGCAAGGGCGCTGGCCGTCAGGAGCCCTCTGTTGCCCAGGTTCTCCTCTGTTCTCAGCCCCAGTCCCTCTTCTGTCAAAAAGTGTGCATCCTGGTAATTAGGTATTGACTAAGGGGACCTCCATGGACACGTGACTGAGCCAGGACACCCCGGGGCCATCTGTACTTCCTAGAGAACTTGCTACAGAAAACCCATATTTCGTGGGCAAAATGTGTGTTTGAAAGTGTCCTTTTCTGGGGAGACGCTGTTCTTCTGAGGGTGGATATGTGTTGGGATTTAGTTCTCTAGACTCTTCTCTTGGTCAGCAGAACTCTTCTTTCCTCCCCAGCCAGTCTGCAAGTTTGTAAAATGTGCCAGACCACCACCCCCTGTGGCCTGCTCTGAGCTCCAGAATCCAGAATCCCTGAGTAAAGGGAGTACTAGCTAGCCCCAGTACACCAAGAATTTCAAAGTGACAGTCAATAGATTCATAAGGACACAGAACACCACAGTGTGGTTTTGCTTTTTGCACTCATCATACTTAGGAAAAAAGAGAAACTGTTTGAAATAACTCTCAGAAATTCTCAAAATATAATTTTATTTTACCAACCTCACTGAGATGAGAGGGATCAATGAACACTAATGTCATTTTAGATTGACAAAAGGTGCTACATAATTACAAAGAGTTCTTCTGCTTTGATTTTCAACTTGACTATATTAACTTCAGAAATATTTTTAAAAGATCCTTGGACAGCATATTAAATGGACCCCATAGGCAACTAGGACATTTAGATGCCTTAGGGCATTCCATTACCATGCTGGTAATTCCTGTACCATGCACTTCATAAGTACTTTCTTTCTTGTTCCCTCCCCTTCTTCCTTCCTTCCTTCCTTCCTTCCTTCCTTCCTTCCTTCCTTCCTTCCTTCCTTCCTTCCTTCCAAGAACCCTGGATGGTGCCCTTGTAAAGAATCGTGCCAGGGGCTAGGTGAAATCCAGCCATCACCAAGAATACTCTTTACCTTTAAGGAGTGGTCAATCTAGAATGCATTTCTTTTGGAAAAAAAATGTTTTAAAACAGTGTAGACTGTGTTGCTCATAAATAAACACAATGAAAATAACATCTTTATTAAATAGATGTGGGGATAGATATCTTCATAGAGGGAAAAAACTACTCATCAAGGAGTTGAGTAAATTTTCGGAGCAAATCCACCCAGTGGGTATTGCATCTTGTGATTCTAGTTTAAGGGCTTTTTTTCATAAAACATTTGTATCTTTGAGCAGCAGTACTTGGTCCAGGTTCAGATCCAGTCCTACCCCTTCTCTCACTGTGTGACCCTGACTGGACCATAGTCTCCTCTGCTGCAGAATGGGCGTCATCATTCCTGATCATCAGACCTGCTCATATTGTCACTGGAGGGGGAAATGAACAGGGCCTGGCACGTGGATAGCACTGTCTGAGTGTTTGCTGCTATTACAATTATTTATAAATATTTTGTCATTTAGAGCTGCGTGGCCCAGTATGGTATGGTAGCCCACTAGCCACGTGTGGTTCTTGAGAACTTGAAATGACAGAGCGTGAATTTTTTTTTTTTTCAGAGCGTGAATTAAGATGGGCTCTAAGTACAAAATATATGCCAGGTTTCACAACTTAATATAAAAACAAGAATATAGAAGGTCTCATTGCTAACTTTGTGCCGATCACATGTTGAAATAGTAATTTTTTGCTATATTGGGGTTAAATAAAATACATTATTAAAATGAAAATACATATGTGGCTCAGGTTAGGCCTTCTCTTGAATCGTCCTGATTCAGAGACAGATGTGACCATAGCAATAATCACAATTTAAGGGAAATATGATGTCTTTCACCTGATTCCTAAAATAAAGCTTTGTGAAAAAATATTCAGAGGAATGTATCTTTGGTTGAGAAGCAACACAAGTGATCCTGTCCCCATTTGTCCTTTAACATTGCTCTTTAAATTTGATTAATGTAATATGCAACTTTTTAGTGACCATTTATATTCTTTTTTAGTGACAAGTTCACTCGATTTTGTCAGTGGAAAAACGTAGAATTAAATATCCATGTGAGTATCCTCTTATTCTTTCCGTTTTTTTTAAAATAAAAACTTCCTCTGGCTTAACTTCGTGAGAAAATACTTTGCCCTGGAGCACACTCCCACGGGTAATACGCTGTCTAAACAGATGTTGCTCTTATAGCTCTGTGTATGAAGAATTCATCCTCCTGTACCCGGCCTCGTAAACAATTCGAGTTTTAATTCTCTTTTCTCAGATTCATATAAGAATGTGTTTATTTATTTAAGAAAGGGTATTTTAAGCAGCGATTGACCCTTCCACAGAAATAGTAGTCAGAATACAAGGTCCCTACATAATGTACTTCCCACATGCCCTTGTCTTTTGCCATCCCGGGAAAGTCTCTTCTTGTTTGTATTATTAGATATAATCTTGTAATAAAAATGATGACATCTTTTATTAGAGCAAGAGTTCATCTCCTCTTTGATTAGTTTTGAGAATGAGGAAAGCAGTCGTCAAAGACAGGCTCCTTTCTAACACGCACTTCCTGTGAATATCTCATCTGTTTGCGGCTTTCAACGTCAGAAATTCCCGGGACATCCCCATCTTGGTTTTTGGAGCCCTCATTCCTTGTTGCAGCCTTTTACCTTCTTCTTCATGTTCTCCCTTCACATAGGTTTGCTAGTGCGAAAAAGAAATTATCAATTGGATTTTTTTTTTTAGGGTTTTTTTGTGTGCGTTTTTTCCTTGCCAGTACCATGGGGAGAAGCAGTTTGTGTATGTGTGTGTGTGTGTGTGTGTGTCTGTGTGTGTTTAAATTTTAACTTCTTTCTTTCACATTTCCTGGCAGGATTTTAGAAGCAAAAGGACAGTAACTCATTTTTTCAAAAAATCCTTTCTATCTGCTATAGATCTTTCTGATGCATGGTGTGCTTTCATCCTGCTGTTCCCGAGAATCAGATATGAAGCCTGTGTGGCCAGTAACCTGGCTGCAAACATGGTGTTTTAAGGGTTGTTTGGGGGGAACTCTTCAGGAATCTGACCCTTCACTTGCCGGGGTACATAAACCAGCAGGCGTCGGCTCTTGTCCGACGGCCCCTTCACTGTGAACATCGGGCTCACTTCTGCCTTCGTGCTAAGACTATTAAAACTACTTTAATAGTAGTGGGGGGCATTGGTGAGATGTTGACACAAGGAGAGGGCTTATGAATGAAGCTTCTTTATGTACTTTCCTTATATTTAGCATCTTGTTTCATGCTCACATGCCCAACATGAGTCCTTGCTGTTCCCTGATGTTATCGATAAAAAATTCACATGGCCAGCATCTGTTGGGTTTTTCTGGTCATATGGCCCACTCTTAAGAAAACCTAGATGCTCTTGATGTAGACTTCCTCTTCTACCATGACGATTCCCGGAATTGTGGAGCTGTTCCCAAACTTCTGGCTTCGGAGTAGCTAAGGATGCTTTTCACTTTGACTAGAAATTTCACACTCCCTTGCCTTCAAAGTATACATCTTATAACCTAACATTTAGGAGATTTGAAAAAACAATCTAACTCTACTCCCACACTGTTGTCTTCCCATTTGCCTGCCTTTTGTGCATTTTGGGGGTAGAGCAGAAGGAGGTTCTAGAAAGTCTTTCTACCTTTCATATCCCATCTCTTAGAGCAGTCACAGGGCAGATCCCTCTATCAGATGGCTGTTTTAACAACTATGTTTTACGTGCAAACAACAACATAATTTTAACACAATGCTGTGTATCCCTTTCATGTTTTGAATTCACAGTTGACCATGAATGATTTCAGCGTACATAGGATCATTGGACGAGGAGGATTTGGTGAAGTATACGGTTGCAGGAAAGCAGACACTGGAAAAATGTAAGTGCTATGGGTTTTATGCTTGCATCAACAGAAAATGCCTACATAGATTTATGGAAACCCATCATTTCACTTGTCAGAAAGAAATAGGCTGTATGTTGTTAAGCATTATCAATGAGAACAATCAGCTGGAACTTCCACCTCTTAGGGTTAAAAGGAAAGTTAGCCAGTAACTGTGTCATGAACCCCTGTGGTTCAGGCTGTGGGTAAAGGATCTGGAGGTGACCAAGAAGGAGCATTATGTATAGCCTCCTGGTCTGATCTTGCTGCAAATAATTCTCTGCTTTGCACAGGAGAGACATTATCTCCTAAACAGTGGCCTAAACAGTGGCCCACCTGTGATTCAGCGTATGAACCTTGGGGTGGCATATCATTCCAGGAGATGTCAGTTCCACAGATGGGTAGCTCAAGCACTGGGTGAGAAGTATTCCCTGCTACAAGGATCATGATCGTGGGCCTCCATCACCATCTTAGTTGTTTATCTTACAGGAGGAGGTTGGTATGAGGCAATTATGTGCACATAAGCCGGGCACGAGGTTCTTGCAGAAGGTGAATGGTGGAGTTCTTAAGTAGTGCAAGGGTAAAAAATTTTGTTTTTAAATATAGAAGCAGTTTGTTGAAGTGAACATATATCTAGAATCAAAAGAGAATGGGAAAATATAGTTTGATAGACCCGGAGCTACAAGTGGGATCAAGTGACAGGCATGTTAAAACCATGGGAAAGTAGAGTAGTCTGTGCAGCTTGGTTGATAACCTCACTGAGCCAGTGTAAGGAGTAAATGAGGTCACCGAGTTCAGTGCCCACCTCCTCCTGCCACCCCTGAGCATTGTGTAGCATTGTCACTCAGCCTCCACTCAGGTCCACCTTGTGATTGGGCACCAACAGCTCTACGAAGTTGCCCTCTTAGTCTTCAGACAGGTCCAATAATGGACATGATTTTTATCATGCGGGGACTGAAATTTACATTCCCTGACTTATGCCCCCTGGTCTTCTTCCTGTTGTGGGGCCCTGTGCAGGGTGAACCCAGGGTCTGGCACTGGGGCGTCTGTAGTCTGGTGCCGTGCTGAGACCAGATGGCCTGGTGATCCAAAGTGCAGGTCTGGGTATCCCTCAGCCAGGACAGATCTGGCTTGCATGAAATTCCTCGTTTGTAGGATTGGGAAAATACTTCCTTGTTGTTAGACTTGAATGAGATAATACATCGTAAAGCCTGCAGACCACTACCTCCTCCATAGTCAGTATTAACGAACAGTCCTCTGCCAATGGGCCTTTCATCCCCCTTCTGTAGTACCATGGTGGGCTCTGGCCCTAAGTGATGTGCTTGTCGCCTATTCCATCTCACTGACTGTTCATTTTTCTTCCTCACTACTGCTTGTCTAGGTATTTAGGAGATCTGCTGATCTGCTAATCTGCCACACAATGTAGAAAGTCATACTATCACCACCGTCTTTCTTCATTACATGTGTTATTTCACAGGATCCTCAGGGTTTGGAAAACTGTCTTACACTTTCTAGATTAAGGGTAGACACTTACCAGGAATCCCACAGCTAGACAGTGGCCAGATTCAGTCCCTGTGAATCCAGGAGTGTGTCCTTCCAGTCCCCAGGCTGCCAGTTACATTGTCTTGGCTCCGGAACTGCCATCTACCTCAGAAGCCAGTGGAAGCAAACTTGCTCAACCCAGCAGCTCAACGCCCATGTATGGCAGCTTCTGTGGTCCGCAATTTAAACTATTTACTAGACACCGTCATGGAAGGGGGTAGTGATAGAAGTGATATGAAACATCTTGAAAATTCATCACAAAAATTAAGTATTTAAAAATTTTTATTTATTGATTTTACAGAGAGAGTGTATGCGCATAAGCAGGGGGATCAGCAGAGGGAGATGGAGAAGCAGACTCCCTAATGAGCAGGGAGCCTGATGTGGAGCTCAATCTCAGGACGTAGAATCGTGACCTGAGCCAAAGGCAGACGCTTAACCGACTGAGCCACCTAGGTGCCCCGAAAATTGAATATTTAATGAACATGCCACTTCACATGTTCTCAATATCCAGTCCCATAATTAGGCAAATTAATATCTCCATCAGTGGATTTGTTACAGAGAACTCTTGGAAGAGTAGATAAAATGAGCAACTTTGAGCATCCATCTCTGTTTTGTTATAAGTCATGACATTGTAAGTTATGATCAGTTAGAAACAAATGGATTTTCTGGGTCCTATCACAGCCAGACAGTTGTCTGGGTCTTATAAAGTGGTCCATCAGTGGGGATTTATAGTCATGTACCAGATTTCTAAAGCCCTTGAAACCCTTGTAAAAATTTCCTTTCTGTTTTCTGTTGAAAAATCGTCCTGCTTTCTTCAACCTGTGGTAATAGAGCATGCCAAATAATATGTCTGTATTTTCTTAGTTGGAGCTTGTGCCAAGTTTTCAAAAAGCTTAAGTCCTGGGATCCCAGGGTCCTGGGATCAAGTCCCATATCAGACTCCCCACGGGTAGCCTGCTTTTCCCTCTGCCTGTGTCTCTGCCTCTATCTCTGTGTGTCTCATGGGTAACTAGATTAAAAAAAAAAATCTCAACCACTGCTAAAATCACAGTTCCTAAATGCTAAATATTATACACATATCCCTTCGCCCCCGCGATATACACATAGTGGCCCTGGGCAGCAATGATACATACAAAATTTATTTCACCGAATTTATTTATATCCCTCTACTTTATGCTCTTACTGGACTGGAACTTCTATTAATGTAATGATAGAAATATCTTAATTATTGCTGGATTTTTTAAAAAAGAAACTTTTTTTTATTTTAGAATAGTTTTAGGCTTAGAAAAGAGTTAAAAGATAGCACAGGGAGTTCCCATGACCTACACCCAGTATCCCTGTCTTACATTGGTCACAACAAGTGAACAAAATACCAGTATGTTATCATTAACTGAAATCTCCACTTTATTCAGATTTCCTTCGTTTTTACCCAGTGGCTTTTTCTTTTCCTGGATCTCATGTTACATTTAAGGCGTCACATCTCCTGGGGCTCCTTTAGGCTGTGACAGTTGCGCAGACTTCCTTGTTTTTGATGGCCTGGACAGATTGGAGGAGTACTGGTCAGGGATTCTGTAGAATGTCTTCCAATTTAGGCATGTTTTTGTCATGGTTACACTGGAGCTGTGAGCTTTTGGAAGCAGGATCCCAGAGGAAAACACCATTGTCATCACATCAAATCGGGGTGCCCATCCTGTCATTAACATGACTCATCACTGTTGATGTGGACTTTGACCACTTGCTTGAGGTCGTATTTGTCAGGCTCCTCCAGTGTAATGTCCTCGTCCCTCTCCTCCATACGGTTCTCTTAGAAAGAAACTTTTACTCTGTGCAGCCCTTATGTACTAATGGGAAGATATGCTCTACCTCCTGGAGGGGGCATTTAATTTTTTTCTTAATACATACAAATTTTTTTTTCCATGACACTCAGGTACCATTTCGCTTCTCTTAGACACTTCTCAAATCTTTAGAAACCTTCCCCAGTATGATGTGTACCATTTAAAGCAGCAAAGATATATTTTCAGTATACTTTTTTCAGTAACATTTATGTTTCCAGGTATGCAATGAAATGCTTGGATAAGAAGAGGATCAAGATGAAACAAGGAGAAACATTAGCCTTAAATGAGAGGATTATGTTATCTCTTGTGAGTACAGGGGTAAGTATTCCTTTTCGAGTGCTGCTTGTTTTTGTATTCATTGGTTGGTTGGTTTTAGGTATCAGGACAATTTATTTAAAATACAAGCATTCTTTTCCAGCAAATTATGCAGCTAGTCAATTCTTGGGTGCATTAGAATTTATAGCAGGGAAGAGCAGCACTAAGTTAATATAAATAGTGTGTAATTCTCATATTATCTCTGTTTAATTTGGGAGTTAGAGAAGTGTTAGCGACCATCATCATGCACACCCACGGCTTCTCCCTTTAGTGGCTGTTTATGGCTTCCTTCTTTGCGGAATATGGTTCCAGGGAGGGCAGGAAGTAATCATGGCATCAACAATGAAATCACTTGAGTCTAGTTAAGAACTGATTGCGTGATGGAGGACCAGCCCAGAGAAGGAGGAGTACAAGGAGGAAAGCAGCTCTCGTCCTCTGTAAACAAATAGAGAAACATCTCAGCTTACTCAAACCTGATTTGCATTTGAATCTGTCCCCAGTCACTAAAGCTATCTGTCTGGCTGCTTTTTACCTGTTGTGGACTTTGCTCATTTCCATTTCCAAGAGGATGTTTCCACCTGTTGGACATTGTGTTTGTCTGTCAAGCTAGGATTTTTAGCTTAGCATGTGCCAAAAACTTTTTTTTTTTTTTTGCCAAAAACTTTTACCCAGTGTCTTTTTGTGAAACAGTGTCCCATTTCTGGCTTCTTTTGCAGTGAATGGTATGACCCACAAGCAAAGCCTTCTTTTATTTATTTGAGCAGATGTGTATAAAGACACCCAGAAAAACTCAGTGTCCAACCTGGGCATGCCCACGTGCACCAGTGGGCCTGTCATCCAGCATCCAGAAGAGCTCAGGGATTCAGGGTCTCATTCAGGAAATGACAATGGAGTGGCCAAACTCATGCTGAGTACCTCATATGGGAATTTAAGGTTAAATACTGAGCCAAAAGGGTTTATGTGCAGTGAGATATACTGGGGAGGGCATGACCTCCAAATATCCTAGCTGGGTTCTAAATAGGGTCATCCCTACCCAGAGGATTAAGGAATCAGATTTTAATGGTGAATCAAAGGATCCCTTTCAACTAGTAAGCAAGGAACCTGAGACCCAGAGAGATTTCTTTGCCCAGAGTCTGTGGACTCCCTGGCTAGTGTTCATTTTTTTCTTTCATTTTTTTTTTTAAGATTTCAATTTATTTATTAAAGAGAGTTACATACGTGCAAGTGAGCACAGGGTTGGGTGGGGGAGGGGGCAGAGGAAGAAAGAATCTCAAGCGACTTCCTGCTGAGCATGGAGCCCACACAGGGCTTGATTCCAGGTCCCTGAGATCACAAGCCCAACCAGCTGAGCCACCTAGGCATCCCCTATTGTTCCTTTCCTATTGTCACCTGTTTGGCCCCATGTTTTTTGTTTATACCTACATTTATCATATTGCAGTTTATATTATTCTAACATCAGTTTTAAGCAGTTTTGGAAAGGTTATTTGCTACTGAAGTATAAGATTATCATAATTTAGCTCAACCGTAAAATAAGTGAAAATGCCATAGCTATAAATAATTTCTAACTATGTGCCTCTGTCTCCCAACATATGGATATTAAGCATTTGAAATAAGAGTTTATCCTGTGTGCGTGACCACATTTTCAACTAATTGGAATGGAGACTGAGCAGCTTGCACACTATATTGAAATCAGTATGAATGGCATCGGTTTCTAGTTTCTATCAGAAATGTCATTGTCTTATATTTCAAACATGGATGTATACTTACTCCAGATTTTAAGTGGTAATTAAAATATTAATTTTTAATGAGTTATCTCCAACACCTTGGGTATTTTTTCTCAAGAAAGCTTAGGGAAAAAGAAATCTTTGGTGTTGGAAAATTATGTATGCAATGATCATGTAGCATTTTTATACTTATTTTTTTCAGATGAAGGGGAATAGAGGTAAGCAATAGCAGTATGTATGGTTCCTCACCAGTCTTACCCTCTAAAGGAATAAATAAACAGTCTACTATTTTGAGCTAACTTTAAAGAATTGCTTATATTTTTTTATTCAAGTATCAAACTTGGCTTTTTTGTTTTTGGGGAATTTGGGGGGCCTTTTTTGTTTTGTTTGGTGTTTACTTACCAATATATAATTTAACCAGGGGGCAGCTGGCTGGCTCAGCCAGAGAGCATGCAACTCTTGATCTCCTGTTGTAAGTTCGAGCCCCATGTTGGGTGTAGAAATTACTTAAAAATAAAGGCTTTAAAAAAAATGATACATAATTTAGCCAAAAAGACTTGTAATAAAGCTATTTGGACTGATTGACTTCCTTCCTTACTTCCTTCCTTACCTCCTTCTTTCCTTTTTGCTAATCAAAGGCTACTTTTTATGAACTTTTTAAATGAACTTTTGTTTTAAATGGACTCAGTAGGTTAAACTTCAGATCAGCCTGTATCAGCGTGGTTTTTCCCAGGTGCTGGCAGGAAACTGAACTGAAGTCACTCATTACAGTTTTCTTTTTACTGGAAGTTTTTTGTTTTTCCTTCCAATCTCAAATTGAGTGTTCCTTCCCCTGATCTTTCAAAGAGACAGTGGGAAGTACTGTTACTGGTATGCTTCTCTAATTCTAGAATAGTAAAAAGGGAAATCTTCAGGTTTAAGCACCACGATAAGTATGTGCCTAGCTGGGAAAAAGCAATTAGCAACTTCATTAAACAGTCTTGTCATGTCCTCGAAAGTGTTACTCCTTCATTCCTTGAACCATAGCGGAGTGCCTAGATTGTGCCAGGCATTTTGCTGCAGGATGGGGCTCCCAAAACTTGACTGTGGTCTTTGCTCTGCATGGAATGAGAGAAGGTAATCTTGTTCTTCTGATCTCAGGAATGTATAGATAATGAGGGCGTGTGGCAGGAGCCATGGGACGGGTACCCAGTGCTCAGGAGGCACTTAACAGAGTGGAAGTGACAGTGGATGATCCTTGGAAGTCACAGGAGGTGTCAGCACGTGTCTGGGTCCTGAGCACTTTGGGAGGGTTTGAGGGCTACAGGGAAGGTTCAACAGAGCTGGAGTCTGATGTGGTGTGTAACTAGCACAAGATGAAGCTGGAGAGGGAGAAAGACCAGGAGAGGCTGGACCAGAATGTAAAGAACTTTCTAGGCCAGTCCTAGGAATTTTTTAAAAATCTCACAGCAGTTGGAGACAAAGCATTTGAGGCAGGAAAATAATATAAGCCTTCCTCTGAATGCAGGGTGGAGAATTTTCTTAAATACTCCGTGGTGTATTTTATCACAGTTTCACAGAGTTGCTACAGAACATGGGCTACCTTGCTTACTACCTGTAGGAAATCCTCACTGAGGGTCTTACCTCCAAAAGATCCACTAGTTCTTATTGTTCTTAATTTGTTCTTTTTTTTTTTCCTAAGATTTTATCTTTATTTTTTCTTTTTTTTTAAAGATTTTATTTATTTATTCATGATAGTCACACAGAGAGAAAGAGAGAGGCAGAGACACAGGCAGAGGGAGAAGCAGGCTCCATGCACCGGGAACCCGACGTGGGATTCAATCCCGGGTCTCCAGGATCGCGCCCTGGGCCAAAGGCAGGCGCCAAACCGCTGCGCCACTCAGGGATCCCTAAGATTTTATCTTTAAAAAAAAGGTAGAGAAAGAACAAGAAAAAGAACAAAGAAAAAGAGAGAGAAAGAACAAGCAGGGGGCAGGAGCAGAGGGAGCAGCAGACTCCCCACTGAGCAGGGAGCCTGAGGTGGGGCTCGACCCCGGGACTCCCAGGATAATGACCTGAGCAGAAGGTGGATGCTTAACCGACTGAGCCACCGAGACACCCCAATTACCTTTAATTTGTAATCAAGACAAAACATCTTAACCATGGTTATGTTTGGAACTCTATCTGTACCATCAATTGCTGCCTGTTTTGTCGTATTGGCCCGTATTTGGTTCTTTGTATCTTGAGCTTCATGGGAGCCCTGATGTGGTATCTGCCCAGTATCTGAGAAGTGAGAGACTGCAGTCAACATGGAGATAACTGAGTCAAACCCCTTTAGCTGAACTTTCCCTTTACATTGCTATAGAAACCTTGCCTTTGTAAGCAGCCTATGGTAGAACCCTGGACAAGGTCAGGAGACTTGGGGTTGAGATCTTGCCTGGTTACCACATGTCTTTGTGACCTCAGGCAAGTCATTTCCCCCTTTTAGGGCTTTAGTTTCCTTGTCTTAAAAATAAACAGGTTGGATCAGGTGATTTTTTTTTTTTTTCTTAAAGGGCCCTTCTATTCAGCCTGTGAGTCTAAATTGACAATTCCTTAATTGAACCTTTTTCACCTTTTGCTACTTCCTCGGGGCTACTATTGGAAGGATCATATCCCATCATGTTCAGAAATACCCTTGGCAGAGTCCACTTGTCTCCTTGTCTCCTTGAGTGCAGTGGCCATCTCAAGCTGGGAAAGACTCTGGCCTTAACTAAGGTCTGGTTCCATCAGCCTCTCTGTGCTGCAGCCCAGTTGCTCTTCAAATCAGGAACCAGAGTGTGTGGGGACCTGCATTAAGAAAGGAGGAGGGGTATCCCCGGGTGGCTCAGTGATTTAGCGCCTGCCTTTGGCCTAGGGCGTGATCCTGGAGACCCAGGATCTAGTCCCACATCTGGCTCCCTGCATGGAGTCGGCTTCTCCCTCTGCCTGTGTCCCAACCTCTCTCTCTCTCTATATCCGTGTCTCTCATGAATAAATAAGTAAAATCTTAAAAAAACAAAACAAAACAGAATGAGCCATCTTCAGCAGGCTATTAGAAAGGTGGTTCACTAAGTGGTTCCAAGAGGGACTGTACCCCTCTCCCCACACCACCCTCTAGGAAGGCCACATGGTGTTTAACAGAAAATGGAAAGCACTTTTATCTTGCCTATTTAAAGCAAAATCAGGCTTGAGATCAGTAATCACTAACACCATCTCAACAGTGTTTTAAGGCAAAATGTGTAATCACAAAATGAAATCTGTAATTGATTCTGGAGTACTTTCCTCTGGAAGATATATGGGAATTGAATTCAAGTTCTTGAATCTCTGTTATAGAAAGGGGTTAACTGAGATTTATCAGTCTGCCCTTAAAATAGTGGTTTGGACAATGCAAATTCAGTGTAAGATTATTCTGTTGAAACTTGAATGTTTTCTGTGAAATTAATATTTTTTTCTTTCTGTGGATATAGATTTTTTTGCCAATTTTTATTTGAATCCTTTGAATGGCGAGTATACACTGTATATAGAGTCTGAACAGACCTAGTCATAGATGCGGCTTAGCACTCAGTTCAAGGGATGGAAGGTTACCCGTATTCTAGAAGTCTTGTGCCTCTTCTGGTCACCTATCCCTTGCCCAAGCTAACCACTGCCCAGATTTCTAACACCATAATTTAGCTTTGCCTATGTTTAGACTTTATCTAAATGTACTCTTTTGCGTCTGGCCTCTGTTGCTCAGTGTTGCATGTGAGATCCACCTGTGTCTTTGCACACAGCAGCAGTACCTTCTGCAGCTACATAGCAGAGGTCAGAAAGCTATGTGTGGCCCATGGACCAGATCTGCTTTGTAGCCTTTATTTCTGCACATCCCATGGGCTAGGAATGATTTACATTCTTAAGGGATTGTATAAAAAATGGGGCAGAGACTGTATGGAGTCTGTAAAACTAGCAACAGTTACTGACTAGCCCCTTGGAAAAAAACTTGCTGACTCTGGCTGTCTAGTATTCCACTGCACAAATATACGACAATTAACATATCTATTCTAACATTGACAGACATTTATTTGCATTCTTTCCCCGTTCAGACTATCTTGAATAGTGCTGTGAGGAACATTCTCATGCAGTTCTCTTTGGTGCACAGAAGTCTAGGTTGCTGTGAGGCGTATACTGGGAAGTGCAAATGCTAGCTCATAGGGTTTGCAGATGGTGCTCAGCTTTGGCAGATAGCACTAGTACCATTTTATGCTCCCAGGAGCCATATATGGGATTTCCATTTCCACCCTATCTTTCCAACCACTTGGTATTGTCAGTCTTTTTAATTTTAGCCATTCTCATGGGTTTTAGTGATAACACATTTCCTTGGGGACCAGTGTAGGCCAGCATCTGAATTCCTAGGCTTGTGAGCTGTTTGATAGTCTCTTATGTGAAGTGCCCATCTTTTAAATTAATTATTATTACTACTACTACCATTTTTTGCTATTGTTCTATTGGATTGTTTGCCTTTTTCTTTATTGATTTATTAGAATTCTTTATATATTCTAAATATGAGTCCTTTATGTGTTTACAGATTACAAGTATCTTCTATTCTGTGAATTGCCTTTTTACTCTCTTAATGGTATCTTCTGAAGAACTGAAGTTCTTAACTTTATTTTAGTCCAGTTTAGCAATATTTTTACTGTTAGTGCTTTTTTGTGGCCTAAGAAATCTTTACTTACCCTAAGGTCATGAAGATATTCTCCTTGTTTCCCTCTAGAAGCTTTATTGTTTTCTCTCTAGACCTTTCTCTACCTGGAGTTGACTTTCATGTGTGGTATGAGGTAGGGGTTGAAGTTTACATACTCTTGTACAAATATCCAGTTGCTCCAGTGCTGTTGATTGAAAAGGCCATCCTTTCCCCCCACCCTGTTGTGTCACTTTATCATAAATCAGTTGACCGTTTATGCTTGAGTCTGTTTCAGGATCCTCAGGTTTGTTCTCTTGGTCAGTTTTTCTGTCCTTGGGCTTCTACCACACTGTCTGATTTACTGTTGCTTCATAATAAGTCATATATATATATATATGTAATAAGTCTTAATATCTGGTGATGTGACTTTTCCAGCTTGGTTTTTCTTCTAGAATGTCTCTACTTTTCTTAGTTATGTACATTTTCATAAAATACAATCAGCTCATCGTTGGAAGCTCGTCGTTGGAATTAGCTCGTCCATTTCCATTTTATTTTATTTTATTTTATTTTATTTTATTTTTATAAGAGATCTTATTTATTTATTCATGATAGACATAGAGAGAGACAAAGAGAGAGAGAGAGAGAAAGAGAGGCAGAGACACAGGCAGAGGGAGAAGCAGAGGGAGAAGCAGGCTCCATACCGGGATCCCCCATTTCCATTTTAATTGCATGGAATCTCTAGATTACTTTGGGGAAAACTGTCATCTTTACAGTTGAATTATTCAATCCCTGACCCTGGTTTATTTTTCCACTTTGAGCTATTTGAGGGACCCCTGGGTGGCTCAGCAGTTTACCACCTGCCTTCAGCCCAGGGCATGATCCTTGAGTCCTGGGATCGAGTCCCACGTCGGGATCCCTGCATGGAGCCTCTCCCTCTGCCAATGTCTCTGCCCCTCTCTCTCTCTCTCTCATGAATAAATAAATTAAAACTTAAAAAAAAAAAGCTAGTTGAATTCCCTTTCTATGCTCATATTTCAAGACAATAATATAGATATTTCCTCCCACTGTGATATGGTGCTTCCCATGTCTGAATCGGAGATTGAAATGGATATTTGACTAGCCAGAATGATAGTGTAGACCAACACAAAGACTAGCAAGGCAGCAATATTTTTCTGTAGAAACTGGGTCTTTTGAAGAAGATGCAGATAAAAGGGTCATGAATGAATCTGAGAGAGATGAGACCTTCGAATTAATCTGTTCCACTTAGGATTTTTTAAAAGATTTTATTTATTTATTTGAGGTGAGGGGACAGAGATAGTGACAGAGATAGTAAGAGAGAGCACCAGGGGGGAGGAGAGAGAGAAGCAGGTTCCCTGCTGAGCAGGAAGCCTGACATGGGGCTCGAACCCAGGACCCTGGGCAGGCGCTTTACTGACTGAGCCACCCAGGCACCCCTCACCTGCTCCACTTAGCAATGCTCTGTCTCTATGCATTTTGTCAAGTTATCATATATGTTTTGCTGGGACCATTAAGGTTACCATGGAGATGTTGGTGCTTAACACACAGGGCAGAAGTCTGGATGAGAAAATCTATGGATGGTATATGGTAGCAGATAGCATGCACTTCCTAGGACAGCTTTTTTCTTACAAACTCTTGTTTTTCTCTCTAGGACTGTCCTTTCATTGTCTGTATGACTTATGCCTTCCATACTCCAGATAAACTCTGCTTCATCTTGGATCTGATGAACGGTGAGTGACATGCAGAAAGCCCAGATGCAGGGAAAGACATGGCTGGGACATGACACCTCAGTGCATACTGTTCTAGGCACCCTGGTGGTTCGGGTTTTTCAGATAATTAATTGGGTTCCCTCTGAAATTTAAGGAAACCTTCTTACTCTTCAAGTTTCCCTTAGAATTCATTTTAAAATGTTGACCACCGTTCCTGTCTAGCCCTCCTAGTCTCTCCCCAGGAAGTTGCATTTTTTGGAAAAGATTTTCATAAAATAGGCAGAGTGAAACTTCATTTTCTGGAATGCAGCTGGCCTAGATCTTTAATTAGCATGTTTCCTGACCCCCAACTTTTAGGAATGAAATGGCTTCTTAAGAACATACACCAAAGATAGAAGTGTATTAGGAAACCAACTTTGAAGGATTGGCTGTGGCCAGCACAGCTTCTAGCCCAGTGTTCTGTACCCTTAGCCCAGACCAACCATCCACTAATGTTTTAAGCTATGAATAATCACCCTGCAAATGTTGAGAAGGTCCTAGGTAGAAAAATAGTTTTCTAATACTAGAGAGTGACACCATAGTCAAATGTTTTTAGTAACAAGAGCTTGAAATGAAATGCACACAGTACAGCAAATGAACTAACCTCTTTTGAAAGTTCATTTGAAGTTCTATTATGTTTTGAGGGTTTGGTTTAAAATCAGATCTATTTAACAACATGGAGGAATTTTCCAGATGTAATAATGGTCAGAGAAGCCAGACACCACAGCATGTCTCCTGTGTGATTGCATGAACAGGCAAAGCTAATGTCTGGTGAGAGGTCAGAATGGAGTCCCCTTGGTCTGATGAGGACAAGAGCTGAGGCATTGCCAGGAAAGGGCGCGGGGCAGCCTCTGGGATGCTGGATATCTTTTACATCTTGATCTGCTAGTGGTTGTACAGGAATATGTGTGTGAAAGGGAAGATAAGTAAGCAAAAGCAGGGGCCATAACGTTGGCCACACATTAACTTCTGCAGACCAGTAGAGGCTATTCTTTTACGGTGTGTAAGAACATTCCCTTAAAAAAGAAAAAGAAAAAAAAAAAAAAGAAAATTCCCTTACCCTGTTGGTCTCGGTCTCTGTAACTTGAGCCCATATGATGATTGACTTTTTCCAGCATATTATGAATTGTTTGCATCTTAGTATGCAAACATAAGGCAAAATGGAAAGAATTTTAAGGGGAATACCCAAATACCCACCTCCCTGGATTTCGCCAGTTAAAATTTTACTGTATCTGTTTTACCAAATATCTTTCAATATGATCATTTTGTTTGTGTGCTTATTTCTTTATTGTCCACGGAGCCAGTTGCTAGAGCCATCTGCTAGATCATTACATGTTTGGTCCAGTTTGTTAGACAGGACGTAAGTACTCAGAGCAGATAAGCTAGCCACCCCCCGCCCCCAAAGGTGCATCTGGAAGCTGGACTGCCAATCTGAGAGTGATGGTTGTGTTATATATTGTCCTGGCCATCCCTGCATGAAAGTCTTGTAATGTTTGAGTTCCCTCTATCCTTCTTAAAGTGTTTTGTCAAACTACAGAAGTCAGAGACAGATACACAGAAGCAGTTTGCCCTTTTTTCGACTATGTCTTAACTATTTAAGATGGCAATGATTTTCATTTCCTATGAATTGAAAGGCTTTAATATTAACCTCTACATCTCTCGTTCCAGGGGGCGATTTGCACTATCACCTTTCACAGCATGGGGTGTTTTCAGAGAAGGAGATGCGGTTTTATGCCACTGAAATCATCCTGGGGCTGGAACACATGCACAATCGGTTTGTTGTTTACAGAGATCTGAAGGTAAGGCACTCTGCTTCCAGGACCTGCACAATAGATATTGAGGTCCTGGCTCTCCGGATGGTTCCTTCTTGCCATTCCCCTCACCTCAGCCCCTGTGAAGGCCCATCTCTCCAGACTCTAAACTTTGTTTCAGGCCCTCCTTTCCTTCTTCCTTGTCACTATCAGCTCAGCATGGGCTCCTTGGCCTAGTGCAGCACACACACTAACTCAAAAATTTTAATTAATTAATGAAAGGCAAGATAGGAGTCTCTTGGCTGTTGCTGATTTTACAGTTAATTGTAATGCACTTAATGTTCACTAGACAACTGGTTTAGCCTTGGCTCTGTGTTAGAACTGGTGATGTACAAAGAGAAGAAGCACATAACATGTGTTTTCCGGGATCTGTATGCGGGTAAACCAGGCCATAGAATGGCTGAATCGCTCATCAGAGACAGGGTCGATCAGCCTACAGAACTTCCCCTAAAGGCTACTCTGAGAGTTTCATGTTGTTTTAGGACTGTCTTCAAAATCATTAACAGATTTTTAGATCCCTGAAGAGCAGAGCCTCCTACTGCTGTGTCTGGACTTCTTCATTCTTGTTCTCTCTCTCTGGACTTGAAAAAAAATGCATTGAGTCTATTCCAAGTTTCCCCTCTTCCAGGCCATGATGCTCAGTCTTGGGTTCTACATTCATAAGGGAGCTAGGAGTTGGCTCAGCACCTCTGTGGTGACACTCACCACCAGAAGACAGGGAGAGAGATAAAAGGGACCTTGACAAATTATAGAAATGATCATGCAAATACATAAATGTGTTACAGATAGTAATAAGGAGAAAAATGATCAGAGAGAGAGTTTCCCAACAGGGTAAAAACACTCTGGGAGGATGTGTTTGCCTTCTTTTTCAGATTCCTTCTTGAATGAATCCAGTGTAACTACTGAAATGCACAGATTATGCTCCTTTTTCTCAGGAGCTGCTGCTATGTTTTGATTAGCTGTCTTAGCTTTTTAAGGTTACCTTCCAAGAATCTAAAATATTATATTTTATTTTTGAGACTCTTACTTTGTCACAAAACACTTTGTAAAATTTAAAGCTTTCTGCAAGGTTACAGAATTATCTCCTTAGTTTTCATCTGAGCATGAAGAAGGAAAAAAATGTATTTTCATTGAATTAGAATTAATTAGACACTGGTTGGCACATGACATTTTGTTTCCTCCTGTGAGTTTTGCAGAAGAATAAAATATATGCTGAAGGCCCATGAAGCGCTATTGTAATACATTTTAATTTAGATCTATAACCGGTCTCTAATTATCTTTATGCTGTATTTTTTTTTTGTTTTCTAAGCTATTTAGTAGGCAGTGGTATTATTTAATTTCTATTCAAACTGAATTCTAGTCACTCATGATTATTCATGCTTCAGTTTTATAATAGTATGCCATTTATTTTTATTTCAAGCAAAACAATTGTTGATTTCTAGCAGAAAAATATTAAGATGACTGTAATTCGATGTATATTAGGGAGAGGAGCTTCGTTTCCCTGATTATACTGACTAAATCTAATCTCAATAGATACATTTTAGTCAGAGTCATACTGGGTCATTCGGTCAGGTCCTGTGTACTGACTGATGTTCAGAAGCAGAGATGCCATTCACTGGGATTGGTGCCCCACTGTGGAATGTTCTGATTTCTTTTTTTGTTGTTGTTCTGATTTCTTAGATCTGTGTTGGTACCTTCTTGTGACTACTTTCTGCCATGTGCTTCATGGGCTCATTCCCTGAGGCCTTTGTGGTTCACAGAAGCCATGTGGACTCACTCCCTTTGTGGAGAGGCGCCCTGCTCTGGCCGGGCCTCAGTTCTCCGCAGGGTTAGGAGGGGGCGGGGAGGAAATATTTTTTAACTGATGAACTTTGGTCGTCCCCCTGCAAGCTCTCTCCCTGTGTCTCATTATCTCATGAGTAGACTCCTTTGTGTATGCATTGCCATTTTTCTGTGGGATTTAAACATGAAATGCGTTCCTGTCAGTATCATACTTGGATGTGACAGTGTGGAATTAGGGTTTGGATAAAATGATAAGATAGCACGTGACTATAGTTGTAGAAATTCCCAAGCCCTGTGACAATTTGGGGACTCCCGAAGATCATCTTGTCTTTCTCCTCAGCCTGCAAATATCCTCTTGGATGAACACGGACACGTCAGGATATCCGATCTCGGTCTGGCCTGTGACTTTTCCAAAAAGAAGCCACATGCAAGCGTGTGAGTAGCACAGCATCTCTGTTCACTGTTCCCTGTTGTTTCTCTACCATGATGCGTTGACTGGTGTAGACCCCAATCTGGTCACTTGTTCACCCAGCTTTTTCTTGCCAAAGGTGATTATCAATATCAACCAGGCCCCATATCCCTGGTTTTGGGAGAGAAGATAAGCAGGATATGCCTCGTTTGTCTTCAGGGAGCATGGATGGATGGACCCACAGCGTGACCACAGGGGCGGAGTGTCTGTGGTGGAGAGAAGGACCCCAGACCCAAGACCATGCCACCTGTGTGACCCTAGTCAGTCATTTTATCTGCTTGGCCCTCAGTCTTCTCCACTAGAAAGTAGAAGCAATAATAAATCCCTGCAAGGTGTCCTGAGAATAAAGGGAAGCCCATGTGCCCGGGAAGGTGCAGAGGCATCTGCGTGTGACTCTTCTGGGAGGCCCAGAGGTCAGGCTTCCCTTTCTCTCTCTCTCTCTCTCTCTCTCTCTCTCTCTCTCTCTCTCTCTCTCCATCTGCTTTCTCCTTCATTTTCAGAATGGTTTTTTATCTCCCTGAAAGAAAATTAGGAACCTTTTTTTTTTTTAATTAAAAACACAAATCATCTGTTTGCAGGCCACGTTAGACTTGAGCATTAATTACATCAGTCCTCCAACAGACCATATGGAGGGAGCCCCCCGGCCCCACAGCCCCCAGCCAGCACCTGACCCCTCTGCACGCTCCCCTCTAGGGATGGACAGTGCCATCCCAGGCCTCTGCAGAAACAGAAGGGAATGCACACCAGTTTTCGTTTATGATCCTTCGGCATCAGTTTATCTGGGTGGAAAACATGGACGTGTATGCAGTTCGTAGAAAAGCAGATGAGTGTTGCTTTATTCTTTTTCTTTGTAAATGTATCATTCTCAGCACAGAAGTCCTTTAAAATTACATTTTATTGTCCATATTGAGCTAGCTTTCATCACTGTATAGAATGGGCTTTAAGAAACTCCCAAGGGTCTCACTTTACGCATCCATGCAGAAAATAAACCCTAGACCCTTCTTTCTGGTTGATGAAATAAGGTGGTTCTGCATTACAATACCTGATGAGGGACTACATTAAATCAGAGTTGCCTTTTAAAGCTTCAATCAAATGTGAATGGTGAATAGCACTGAGTCTGTAAACAAGTTTCTCTCTTCCTGCAGAATCTGGGGTCCAGCGATAATAGCATTAGCATTTTGCCGGCACTTTACAATTATTAGGCCAGAACCTGTGGTTGCATAAGCTTCTCTCAGCAAGTTCATCAGGCAGTTTTAAGAGGGTTGTTTGAATTTTTAATGCAGTAGCTATTTGGTATGCTAATTTCTTCAGTTTAGTGTAGCCTGAACTGAAGGGGAATCCAAGAGCCTCAGAAGAGTTAATCTTGCAAACGAATTAACTTTCAGTGTTGGGGTTATTTATTTCCTTACAGAGCTGCACCCACTTCTTACTGTAATTCACCTGTCAGCTCTGAGAGGCAGGCTGGGCTGTTCTCAGGATTCAAACAGTAGCTGTAGAAAGGGGTAGGATTGAGAAGGTTGGTTTCTATGTTTACGTGATGATAGTGAGGCCACTATTCTAACAGTGCATCTCCTGGCCCAAGAACAGAGGCTTTCGAGTCAGCACATCTGGGTTTGAATCCTCCTCCAAGCTCTATGCCTCCTTTCTTCCCTCTCTCTAAAGAGGAGATGACAGTGGCATTTATTTTATCCAACTGTTGGGAGGGTCAAGTCCACTGATGAATGCAACAAGCTTTTATGTAACATTGGCTGGGTGCCAAGTGCAGGCAGTACTGCGGGGACCCCCTAGGACTGGCCACGTAGGGAGTGACTGGTGTGTGGGTGGCAGTGGTGCCAGCAGCCACCGCGCTCACTGTGTCATCAGCTGAACATCCACCATCCCAGGCATGCAGGGCCAGCTGCTTTGAATATGCTCTTATCTTTACAGAAACACCAAGCATTGCAGGTAGAATAATCTACTTTATGGCATGGACACTGAAAGCCAGAGAAATCAAGTAACTTGAACAGGGTGACAGACCTGGCCCATTATAGGACTAGAATTAAACTCCACCTCTGACTCCAGAGCTTGGGCTCCTTTCACTTACATGGGTGAACTGCCTGACACTATGAAATGGTCCACTTCATACCCAATGAGGATGTTTGGCCAGAATTTCACCTTGGACTTGGTTTCTGAAGTCTTCTCAAAGCTACAGATGTGATCTATGGACTTCATCTAGCCAGTCCATCTACAAGTAGTGCTGTGGTTGGGGTTCCCAGTTTGGGCTCCCACTTCATCCCTCTAGTGAGTCCATTTAGTGCCTCATGAATTACCATAAACTAAAAGTTAACTGTGCGGTAGCCCAGAGAAAGCAAAGAAAGACTTGGGGGATTGAACAGTTTACACAGGCCTGATTAGAGTTCCAGCTTAATTTTATCTAAGAACACAAAGCTATGTCTCATGTCACAGTGTCTCAAAACCTCCAAGTGTTCTTTCAGGATTCAGAGTAGTTCAGATGGTCAGTGAGAAATGTCAGGGAGCACCAATAGCTGCCATGCAGTCAGAATCAGAAAGCCACATGGTATGTGATACGGTATTTGGCTCTGATTGTGTCTCATGTCAGCTTAGAGAGCTGGCCTGCATTAGCCTCCTGTGTTTATCCTTGCAGTACTTTCCATTCCAGAATTGGGTTTTGATTCTGAGAATCATAGGCTTTAAGGTCACCACAAAGGTCTTTCTGGGCAACACAGAAATTAACCCTTCGCAGAGACTGATTCAGATGCCCCTCATAGAAATCTCCAGTGCCCTCACAGCATGGCTGGATGGCCTTAGGCTGTCAGACTTAAGGATTCCAGACAGTGGAACTTATCCAGGTTGCTGGACCTTCCTTGATGGGGCAGCACCCATTTTCACTGCTTCAGAGCAGTTTTCCAAAGTTAAGACTCTTTAAACAGCACTGGGCCCAATGCTGAGCCTGGATCAGGAAAGATTAATGAGTGATCCAGAATCACTTTTCTGAACAGATTCTCAGTGCACATAACCTAAGTGTGATTGTAATAAAATAAGACTAGATACATAGATTTCTTCTGTGCCAGCACCATTCTAATCCATTACAAATGTGTAATCCACATGGCAACCCTGCATGATACAGGTGTCCTTTTATCACCCACCTCGTCAAGGAAGATCAGTGAGGGTGGACACTTTGGCGAGTATGGCCTTTGTAGGAACTTTTTCGGGCTGTGTTTTTGAAAGCCCCCTCTGAGCTGCCTCTCGCTCTTTAAGTGAAATGGTGCACGCTCAGACCCTTAAGGAAGAGTGGGGAATGGAACAATGGGAGGGGGTTCAGAGGTACAGAGTAGTGCAAATCAAGATCAAATGGTTGTCCTTCCAAATCTTGTTCTCAACTTCCTGAAAACCATCCTCATGTTTGCTTAGCAGTCATTTGACCTGTCGGCAGCCCTCAAAATTTGACATAGAATTTCTCAATCTTTTGTACCTGTTGGCTTGCACCCTCATGTCTTACCCACTCCTTTGGGGTCTGTCTCTGCCATGCAGACTGTGTGAGTAGCCCCTACCCTTAGCATGTACCAGCTCAGGTCCTAGCACGGAGGGTGGTACCACACAGGAGGGGTGTCCCCATCCCTTCAGGTCCATGGCACCACCTGTAGGTGCCTGCTTACCTTCCCCTCCCCGACCCCACCCTACCGCAACCCTTGCTAAGTCCTCATTACCTCTGGAACAGGCAGAAGACCTCTTCATTAGCTGTCGTGCAAAAAGACTAACATGGTTCAGATTTCCCTTCTGAGACTGGAGCCTGAATTTTTTCATATTTATCTTGTACTATAATTTGTTTCTACTCATTCCTATACTAATTAAGACAGAAAAGGTTGTCTTCTCATTGGGTGTTCCATGAATCATGTTGTGTGGAATCCCCATTGTGCCCTCCCCCTTGTTTACAGTGGCTGCAATTCAACAAATGATGTCTGGACCTCTGGGCTGAGCTGTTAATGTGTTATACAGTGGGCATGCTCTGATAACCGCATGTACACTTTCTTCTCTCTAGTGGCACCCATGGGTACATGGCTCCCGAGGTGCTGCAGAAGGGGGCAGCGTATGACAGCAGTGCCGACTGGTTCTCCCTGGGTTGCATGCTTTTCAAGCTTCTGCGAGGGTGAGTGAAATGCATCCTTCCCGTACTGTCGCCACAGCATGTCCTCTGATCAGAGTCCAGGCTAGTTAGACGTTGTTAAGCCTTAACCACCATGCTAATCTAGACAATGACCAGAGTTCTTTCTGCCCTATCAAAGCGAGAGCTTCACTCCCATGAATGGTTAGGCAAAAGGTTTGTTCCATACCTTATAGGAATGTCAACACATTTAAATCTAAAATAACACTGCTTTGAAGTTCCATTGATAAGCCTTTTTTGGAGGCATAAGTGTTATTTTAAAATGTGCATAATTGAAGAAGGTAGGATGATTTTTTTTTTTTGTTAGGAGTCATTTACTCATGATTGTCTCGCCAACATTCAGTGTTTTGAGGGTGACAGGAAAGGCCCAAGACCTGAAATGAACTGATTTTAAAAGTGTGCAGGTATGCGGGAGCATGCCAAAGCTAATTTGCTTTTTGTAAAACACAAAATGCAACTGTGTATAATTTTGTGTTTTTAATTAATTGGTGTTAGTTCTCAACTACTAGAAATGGAGAAGTAGAGCAGAAGGGTTAGGGAAGGCACTGTCAAAAATACTGTCCTCATATTGAGCACAACGATTATGTTAAATACTTCCATTAATTTTTAGAAATTTTCAGCCAACCAGAATGGAAATCTGAAGTTTCAATAAATGTTTTTGGTCATTTTCATCCACAAAGATACAAAAAGTACTTTATTTTAAAATTTCCTGGTCAAGACTCTCCCTTTTATATTTCTGCTGTGAACACAGGTCTGGTCATTTGCTAAGCTTTTCACGTTTCCACTGGGAAGCCTCGTTGAGCACGGCCACATCTTCTTACCATAATTCGTACATTCGGCAAAGGGGCTGGATTACGTGTTTCGCCCCAAATTAGGTTCCCAGCACCCTTGATGCTTCCCCAGGACCCTGATAATCTAGTTGTTCTCTATTCACCGTTTTCACTTGGGAACCAAAATCATGTTACTGCCCCCAGAGTCAGGTCCTGTTGGTCCTTAATTGAATTACTCTATTTGTGGAGCCTGGATGGCCCTAATCCACATCATCAGACTTGCTGACCTAATTAGAGAGTTTTGCAAGACAGGCCAGAGAAAACCACTTCCCACATGAGACGTCCTTCCACCTGGTGGAGTCTCTGTATGTGTGGTGAATGCACAGAGGTAGACCCCGGGAGATGGGGTTGGAGGTACTGAATCCATACCCCCGGGATTTTGAGACCATAAAATTCCACGCAACAGCAAAACTGTTGAATAAATCAAGTCAGGATTGAAAAATCAATAGTAAAATGTCACAGGGAAACTTGCAAAGCCACGTATTGAGGGCTTGATTCATGTCTTTTGTTTGATACTAGTCTGTTTATAATAATGTCCACACATAGAAACTGGGGATCATCTGGCCTGACATAGTTTTTAAAAGATCTGAAAATTTATTTATGAACAATATGCCAGCAGTGTGATTTGCGGCTATTAAAGTAAATCCCGTTGTATCTGGCCACATGTCAGATTCGGAGTACTGAATTGGGAGGTATTTATTCTTCATGAGGTCCTTGATTGAGCTCAGTGGAAGCACTGTGTTCACTGCAGCTCCTGTCAAGAAGAGTCTTGGCCACAGGAAGACATCCAGAGGGTGTTCCTGAGGGTGGGATGAATGGGATGAGAGGAAAATGGTGAAAGATCTAGAAACCATGGCTGATATGGAAAGGTTGGAAGAGCTGGGTACAAGGATTAGGGGAGTCCTAACTATTGGCTTCTGGCTGGCTGAGGATCCATCTTCATGAAGGGGTTCTGTTCATGCTGGAGTGCTTTCAAGAGCAGGCATTTTAAGGAGGGGAAAGATTTCAGTTTGACACAAGAATTTAAAGGAATGTTGTGCTTCACAGGTAGCGAGGTCCCTGTCACTGTCTGGGGACCACCTTTTGAGCCTGGCGTGCAAAGAATCCTTCTGCTGTGTAAGAGATGGGACTAAATGGATCTTCCCCATTAAGATTTATGGTCTTATGCCATTCTCTGCATCACTTGTTCAGAAGCCATTCACAGGAGAGGAGAGGGTACTGAAACCAGAAGGCAAAGAGACAGTTGTTTGACTTAAATGGTTTAGAGGAAACTTGATTGAGCACCTACAATATGTAGGAGACTATGCTTCATGCTCTGGGGAGAGAGAGAGAGAGAGAGGGTGGGAGGAAGGTAGGAAGCCACATCCCATCTTTAAGGAGCTTGCTGGAGAGTAGAGATGTCCACACATATGGGCAAGGCAGGCTGCAGTGTCCCCGGGTTAGGGGGTGGGGGGTACACAAAAGGGCCCCAGGGCTAAGCTGGGAGAGCAGGGCCAATTCCACATGGGATGCTCTGTGAAGGGGGCCTGGAAGGGGCTGGCAATTCCAAGACTCTGGAGCAAAGTGAACATGTTTTCTACAGGGAGCAGACAACATGGGGTGACTTACCTTTCCCCAGTGGTGACATGGGTGGGTCAGGTCACTGTTTGTCAAGAGGGGTGGGCATGCTGAGGGGATAATATTGAGGAGACTGGGTCAAGATGGGAGAGCCTAGAATGCCATATGGTAGAGTGGTGGGGGCTTTTACGCCAGGACCTGTGGGCCTGGGACCTGAATGGAGGCAAGTGGCACAATGGTGTTGCTACGCTGATCTGTGGGAGTGGCAGTTGCTATTTTTTCTGATGGGTGCTTGGATATGGAAGCTAGGAAGCTAAGGGGTGCTGCTTGGTAATGCCTGGAAACATTTTCGGTTGTCACAACTTCGGGAAGGGCTACTTCTGACGTCTGGTGGGTTAAGGTGAGGGATGCTGCTAAACATCTTATGATGCATAGGATGGGCCCTATGCCCCAACAAAGCATTGCCTTGCCCAAAAGGTCAACAGTGCCGAGGATGACAAAGTCTGCTCTACAGCACGTCTCTTCCTTCCTTCCCACAGTGGTGCAGTGAGGTTGAACAGGTGGTCACCAACAGATTTTTTTTGCTTCTCCTTTTTTGTAGTCATTTGCTTCTTACATGGACCAGCAGTGCCTCTGCTGAAATGCTTGTCTGCACCCCTCACTTTGCCTTGACACCCTAGAAGAACACCACAGAGGCACGAGGAAAAGGAATCTGGATGTGAGCAGGCTGTTCAGGCTTGAGATCATGTTCTGCATCCATGTTCTGGATTCACAGGGATGGGACAGGGTATTGAAGAAGTGTCCATGTTGCAAATGAATGGGATTACTGCCATGATCCTCAATCTAGATTTCAGATGTCTGATAAGGAAAAGAATTGATGTGACAGTAGCTTTGATCCTAAACTTGTCACCTCTGATGGTCTGTCCCTGAAGGTGTCAGATGCAGGGAGAGAGCCTGGGTGGTGATCCGGGAACAGCTGAGCTCTGCCCGAGGTTACCAAGTTTATTCCTGTGGGGAGAGAAAAAAGGGAATGTTTATAAATATTTTGGCAGTTACTGGCTTGAGTTCAACTCGTATTTGATGTAACATGTCATCTTTTTGGTGTTCTAAAATTAAATGTTGATGTAAGAGCTTTGAATCACCCTTACTTACAAATGTATTGCTTTTGAACTGTGTGTGTGCTTGTGTGTGTTTTCCCATCATTTCTCCCATCTTGAATGCTTTGCCAACTTGCTTGGAGGGAATTTGCGGTGCTCCCACTCGGTCTGTAACTCGAAAGCCACATCTGACCACGGCACATGTGAGTTTTCTTCCCGTGGCGGCGCTAGGCGATGCAGCCAGAGTGGTGCATGCCTTGGGGGGAGAAGTGGGCCTGCCCTGCAAGCTGTTGGCAGGCCTGAAACTGGCTCCTATTTAAAGTGGCTGCATCAGGGAGCAGCTGCAGCCACACAGGATCTGCGAGCACCACGTGCCTCCCTCCAAGCAGAGATTATTACTATCGTAGGGTCTCTTTAACATTTGCCAAAATAGAAACAGAATCTTTGGTTTGGTTCACAAAGAATAATCAAGACTACATTGGAAACAGATGTGCATCAAGATTTCGAACTTGAAAGAGCAAACTTTCTCAGCGCCACGGCCCGGAGCTGCATCGCTGAAAAGCATTTCCGACTGTTTTCCTATTGAGTCGGATGTGGAATAGCCGTGTTTGTAAAGCGGGCTGGGTAGTGACAGGGTTCATGTGCTGGAAATGTTTTTGGCACCACCGACTTAACTCCACTCCCCCTTGCAAGCCTCCCTCTGGTCTCATGAAAGACTTTTTAAATTTAGCACAGAGCATTTCTGTCAGAACACAGCAGTCCTTCTCTGCAAGGGTCAGGGCACAGTGCTTTCCTTCCGGTGGCAGGCCCAGGCCAATACTCGGGGCGTCGAGAGCAGGACTGGGGTCCCCAGTACTGCCCACAGGAGTCAAACCAGCAGGATTTGCCCCTGTGCGAGGACATCTGCTCACAAACCCTTTTTATGCGTTCAGGACCTTGTGTGGGGTGGAGACAGCCGTGTCTGGAAGAGACTACAGTTTTAATAAGATTTAATAAGCTAATATTATTTTGCTCTTCCACCATGAACATGTCAATATCTCTGTGTCTTTCACACAAGAGGATGATACAAGTGATGGTTTTTTAAATGATTATATCTTATAAATAACAGCGTACCATTTGTTGTTATACCCGATTTGCTTTTTAAATGCAGTAATTTTACATATTTCTTTTTAGAAACAAGTAGGGGAAACATTTCCAGTCAAAATCTAGCTTAAAGATTAGTGCATGTTTGCTTGGCACTCATTCACCTTGTTTTAGATTTTATTTTTCAAAGTATTGCTTCCAAGAGATGGAAATTACTCTATTTCATTGCATGGTAAGAAGGAAAATAAAGCATTAGAGTGCCCTCTCTTGTACAAAATGAACATTAAAATATTTAAGAGAATAAAGGCTCTGAAATGTAATAATCCCTTCCAAGAGATGATTCAGTGCATTACTTCACTAATTTGGTGAAGTAATGGTCAGAGTGGTAGCAGTTATGTAGTGCAAGGATGAGCTCTTTTTTCTAAATCACATCAGTACTCCAACTCATTTTATAGAGTAACTTTCAGATATTTTACAGACTATCTTGCCTCTGATGATGTTATATATGCCTCAGAAATAAATCTGTAAGATTCATAATTTTGTAAGCATGTCATGCTTTAAGAAAACTCAATCATATATATGTATATATAGATACATATATATATAGTTCTCCCTTCTTTAATTTTCAAGTAAAAAAGTAAGACCAGTTCTTACTTTAATTTTCAAGTAAAAAAGTAAGACCAGTTCATAATTTACATGTTTACTAGTCTCTTTTGAGAAGATCTCCTTTAAAAGCCAGCTTCTCCAGGGTTTTAATAGCAGGATAAAGAGTAAGGATAGTTTGTTTTTCAGTTTGTCAAGCAGACATTCATTTTGTAAAGTCAAGGTTCATCTTTCTTAATTTCGTCAACGATTGCTGGAACAGATACTCCCGTATATTGCCATATCGTGGCTGCTTCTAGCATACGCGTTGTCTGTTGGCTACCTTTGCTATTTCTGTGAAGTGCGTGACCTTATGCCCATCAACAGATGAAGAAATGAAGACTAACCATTTCCGTGACTGGCCCGCAGCCAGTAAACACCCCCGTCAAAACCTCAAACTTAGGTCTGCTGACTTCTGAATTTGGGGCTCTCCATAAGTAAAACACAAGGCAGCTCTCAGGGGCAGCCTGGGTGGCTCAGCCGTTTAGCGCCACCTTCAGCCCAGGGCGCGATCCTGGAGACCCAGGATCAAGTCCCATGTCAGGCTCCCTGCATGGAGCCTGCTTCTACCTCTGCCTGTGTGTTTTTCTGTCTGTCTGTCTATCTATCTCTCATAAACAAATAAATAAAATCTTAAAAAAAAAAAAGAAAGGCAGCACTCAGAACTGTGGAGGGCCTCGGGCACAGGGTTCATTTGTATCTGTTATCATTAAGGGAAGGTACTGCATCGTTACTGGTTTCCAGTGGGGGAGGCCTGTTCATCTTGGTTGTGTTTTGGTTGGACTGTGGTTCTTTGGGTTATTTGAGGGACTAATACTATTTTTCTTAAAATAAAATAAAATTGTGTGAAATTTTTTATCTCAAAACACTAAAAGTGACAAAAAGTTATATAACCGACCTTCATTTTCATGACTACCGGTCGGCTGCTTATTTTCTTTTTAAGGATATTTTTAAATATCAGTGGGAATATATTTGCTGAAGCATGTTTTAGTACCATGATTTCATTGATGTGAGGATCAGACAGTTCAAGTGAGCACAAGCCCCCCATCCCCCCTTCAGACCCTAATGTACCCCAAGACCAGTCTTTCTCTAGAAATGGTGAATGGGTATGGTTTGTATATTTCTGTGGTTTTGGATGAACAGTGACAGAATCCAGGATGCTACCCAGACATGAGTCAGGGACGTGCACTAAGTGAACTGATACCACATTGTCATAGCATATTGTTCATTTCCATAGGCACAGCCCTTTCAGACAACACAAAACCAAAGACAAGCATGAGATAGACCGAATGACCCTCACCGTGGTAAGGAGATTAAAAACTCTGTTTTTTTTTTCAAGATTTTATTTTCTTTTATTTTTTTAGTAATCTCTACCCACAATGTGGAACTTGAACCCATAACCCTAAAATCTAGAGTCACATGCTCCACCGATTTAGCCAGCTAGGTTTCCCCTTAAAATCTCTATCCTTATTTGTATCTTAATTTTCATGTCTCATTCCATCACAACTGGTGTAAAAATTTGCTTTCTTAAAACAAATGAGTGGAGATACAGTTCCTAAAATTCCTAACTGGAAAATTTAGTGAAAATAGATGCTGAGGCAGAAATTAAGGTTTGCCACCTGTCAGTAAGGTAAAGATCCAGAAAATCAAAAACCAAAATAAGGAGATCAAAGAAAAGAAAAAAACTGCAGAGGCACAGAAGAACAGGGAGCCCTGTTTCTCCTGACCTGGCCCCAGCCTGTTGATTGACATTGAAAATGACTAGTAATCTGCGGCACCTGGCTGGCTCAGTGGAGCATCCAACTCTTGATCTCAGGATCATGAGTTCAAGCCCCACGTTGGGCATAGCCATTACTTAAAAGAAAAAAAGAAAGTGACTAGTACAGTTTCATATTTCCTTAGAGTGAATATTAATTCATGATGAATCTGCAGTTTTTCATTTTAACACTGTCCTTACCTAAGAGATGGCCTTTAGGTCTGCTTGGGCGTCAGGGCCCTCCCTCCAGGAGTGCATCTTTGAAATCATGCTCTTTTTTCCCCCAGAATGTGGAACTCCCAGAGGCCTTCTCCCCGGAACTGCGGTCCCTCCTAGAAGGCCTGCTCCAGAGAGACGCCAGCAAGCGACTCGGCTGCCATGGGGGCGGGTAGGCTGTTTTAGCTCTTGAGTCTTGTCACCCGGAACACATAACCGTTTCAGTACATCACAGATCATTCCTAGCCCCTGAAAATCTCCCATTTTGATCTGAGGGGGGGAAAAAACTCATGGAAAATATGTATGCTGTCCTTTGTGTTTTATAATTAAGACATTGAAGGAGTCGCTAACTTTTTAACTTTAATAATCAATCATGTTGATGGTGGAAATGAATCCTGATATTTCTCAGTTCTTTTGGGGAAGTTTTACTAATTATGCTTGTAGTTATGGCAGTTCAGTATCCTGATCATGGGTCTTACATGTTTTCTCCCATGCATAACCAGCCAGCTGCTGTTTTACACATGCTTTCTAGCTGCTAGAATGCCTTCCTGTGGTCCTCAAACTTGACTGATATTTTGGCTGGATATAGAATGCTAAATCGATAATGATTCTCCCCCAGAACTTTGAAGATACTGCTTTATTGTATGTAATAAAGTTCGTCATGGAACTGAGTTATCACTCCTTCTGTCAGGCACTGGCAGTTTCTTGTACTGCGGAGGTTCATTTTCTTCAGCTTGGGGAATACTGTTTTTTTTTATTTATTTGACATCCCCTCTCCTCTATTTCCTTGGTTAGCTCGTAGAACTCTTTTTAGGTGCCTGTAGGGATTTCTAGAATGGTCGTCAATGTGTCTTTCTTTCCTCATGTATTCTCTGTATCTTCGCTTTGATTCTGTTCTACATTCTGTTGGCTTAAGTCTCTAATCCCTCCAATTGCTTTTCAAAATCTTTAGCAGGCTTAATTTTTCCAAAATAGAACCTTTCAGAGGTTCCCCTCACTCCATTAGAATAAACACCTAGCTGCAGGCATTTTGGGATTGGATTTGGAGGAAGAAAGTATGGTGTTTGTGTGTGCGTGCGCGTGTGTATACATCCGTGTGTGTGTAGAGGGTTCCACATACAGAGTTCAGCCTGTCCTCAGCCTGTGGCTCCCCCACCCCCTATCCCACCCCCTCTGGCCCCGGGCAATAGCTCTGCCACTTCCTGCCCTCGGTCACTGCTCCTGCATCCACATGCCTCCTGCATCCTGCCTGCTGATGGCTCCCCATCCCTCTTTGTAATGCATTTATGTCTCTGTTCCTCTTCCATCATTTTAGTGGTTGTTGGAAAGGAATAAATGCAAAACACAAAGGGACACCCTTTGACTTGAATTCATTCATTCAGTAAACACTTACTGAGCACCCTCTGAGTGCCAGCCACCATCCTAAGTGCTGGGGCTGAGGCAGTCCACAAGGTAGCCACAGCCCTGCCTTCTTGGAGCTTGTATGGGGCCAGGGGTGAATGATATTATAGAAATGATGAAATAAGTAATGATGAAAAGATGACCTCAGACAGAAGAGCGTGAATGAGATAAATAAAGCAATGATGTCCTTGAGCCGCCAGCTTTGGGAGGGGGGTAGGAAGGGACCCCAGGCAGAAGGGTTGGTGAGGGTAGGGCTTTGAGGGTCAGTCAAGCTTCCATGATGCAGAAGAGCAGGAAGGCTGGAGAGCCAGGAGAGGGAGATCAGGAGCCAGACAGAGAGGCGGTGAGCTCTCTAGGCAGGTCCTATAGGCTGTGTCTCCAGACTTCACTGTAAGTACAAGGAAGCCTCTGGAGAGTCCTGGGCAGGGGTGAAGGAAGATGGTTTGAAAAAATGATGTGAGTGCGACGTGGGTCAGGTGGGGCTGCAGGCTGTGTGGCTGGAGTGCAGGCTGGGGCAGGGGGCAGTTAGGGCCATTCAGGGAGCAGGTTGGGGACCTGGATGATGGTAGCAGTGGCAGGACATTCAGCATCCCCTTCATGATTGAAGACCCCATGGCCCCCACTCAGATTTGGATCTCCATGAGGATTGGAGGCAGTAAGAAGAAGCCCCAGGACTTGCCAGGGGGTAGGCTGTAGAGTGTAGAGAGAGTGGGTATCGGGGTGATCTGGCTCTTCAGCCTTAGACAACAAAATGTGGGAGTAAGTCAGGAGTTCTATGGACCTCTTGCCCAATCGAGTGGAGATACCAAGTAGGTGCTGGGTGGGTGGGTCTCCTGGTGTGCAGGACAAGGTCGGCACTTGGGACACAGAGCTGGGAGCTGTCCGCAGGTACAAGGCACTTAGTCATGGCAGGGTGAGGTCACCCAAAGAGTGATAGCCGAGGAAGAGGGCCGAGAACCAGCCCTTGGGGCTCTACTGCAGGGGACAGGGCTGGGGGAACCCTGGGCAGGCCTGTGGGAGAATCTCTGGCGGGCATGGGGACTGCATTTTCCCCGTGCAGGCTTTCTTCATGGTATATTCAGGCCCTTCTCTTCTGCATAAATTGAACTTTAAGGGTGATCTTTGGGAAAACTTTTTCTTCAATTAATAAGAAGGTTTGCCATGCACTGTGTTCCTAGATTTCTAGTTTGCTTCTAAATTCACATTTGGGGCTTCATATGCCTGTTGTTTGATCTAACATGCCTCATCGACATTTGCTGTAAATCTCCTCGATGTGGAGATCTCTAATTCTTGCTTGAATTTGTTCTCATGGCGACAGAATTCTGTGTGTCTATATATCTGTGACAACTCCCTGGTTCTCTCAAACTGGAATACACATCCCTGATAAATTACCATATGGAATAATACTCCTAGCTTCTGCATACAGTATTTCAAGACATCCAGTGTTTCCTGTGTTGCTTTGAAAGAAGCATATTAAAAAAAAGAAAAAAAAGAAAAAAAAAGAAAAGAAAGAAGCATATTTTACTTGTTTACTTAAAGAACTGAAAATGGTCATTCCTCTGTGTTTTTACCAGGAGACAGCTTTTGGAAAATATTTCTTAGGTTTGCAAATGCACCCTTACCACCTTTGTGCCTCTTCCACAGGGCACAAGAAGTAAAGGAACACATCTTTTTCAAAGGAATCGACTGGCAGCACGTCTACTTACAGAAGGTACTCTGGGGGCACTGGGTGGCCTGGATCCCCACTTCCTGGGTCTGTCCCACCGAGCCTCGAGCCCCGCCCCCGGGGCGCTCTTGACCGCAGTGTGCTGCCTTCTCGGGGTGCCTTACCACTGACTCCCTCCGGGCTGAGGTCAGTTTCCCTAGTTAACAGTTTCAAACTACCTGCAGTATACATTAATAAATACTGAAGTGGAGTTGTTATCTAATTCAAATATCCATATAACTGAGATGTTTTTAGCTTTCGCTCACTTTTTTGACTTCCTATCTCAGTTAGTGAGTGTATTTTCATATAGACCTTTATAAAAGTGTACAAGAAGCATGTGTCACAAATCTACATACACTTCCAAGCCCACACCCCACAACTTAAGGATCAATATGACTGGATATCAACAGAATCCTTTATTTTAGGATATTTTTATATTCCCATTGGTACAGGAAAACACCCCCAAATTAAAGTCTTTAAAAACACGATCAGCTGTGGGTTCATTTTTGCATGATCTCCAACTGTCAAGGAATGAAGCTGTATTAGTCCTGCCTTACGGGACCGAGAGAGCGATCTGTGGCTCCATTGGTGTCGGCCTTTGGACACTTAGGAGTGTAGAGCACCCCTCTTGCCCTCCCTGCACTTTAAGGCTCCCACAGGTAGTTGTGGTGCTGTGTTGTCTGGGAGGTGGAGTTTTCCTAAAGTTGAGCTGGCAGGATGTGCAGTCTGGAGACTTCATCATATTCAATAATGCTTTAAGACTTTGGATGTGAATCTTTCTTTTTGCCCCTTAACTTTCTCTAAAATCTAGGGTCTTCTTTTAGGACTGTTCCATGCACAAGTTTATCTGTGAAATATGTATTGTGCTGTGTACCAGCTCGACTGGAGGGCTCACAGAGTGCAACACATCAGTGTCTTGCACAGTGCTCTTGCTATAGAGTGGTAGGCTGGCACAAGCGGTGAGGTGATCCAATAACTGAACCAGGCTTCTTTGGATCTTCTAGTACCCTCCACCCTTGATTCCTCCCCGAGGAGAAGTCAATGCTGCTGACGCCTTTGACATTGGCTCATTTGATGAAGAGGATACCAAGGGCATCAAGGTACATAAGGGTGTTTTGGAGGGTGGGGAGATTTTTTAGTGGCAGTCAAAATGAATGATTGTCTTAGCATTGGCCTGCTTGTGGAATGTCACTTACCACTGACGACCTAACATATTTGAAGCAGGTAGAAGTCAAGGACCTAAATTAGAAACTATGAAACTATGTGGACTAATCATTTTATGTTTGATAAACTGGTAAGTGGTCAGTTTCTTATGGATTTGGATATATTTGCGATTGAAATAAAACGCAGGGCAGCCCAGGTGGCTCAGCGGTTTAGCACCTGCCTTCAGCCCAGGGTGTGATCCTGGATACCTGGGATCAAATCCCTCATCAGGCTCCCTGCATGGAGCCTGCTTCTCCCTCTGCCTGTGTCTCTTCCTCTCTCTCTCTCTCTCTCTCTCTCTCTCTCTCTGTGTGTGTGTCTCTCATGAATAAATAAATAAAATCTTAAAAAAATAAAATAAAATAAAAATGAAATAGAATGCAAACGTATATGAAGCAGAGAAAAACAACCGTGTGATAGCAGACACATTTTGCCTTGTGCCAAAGAGCCAGCCATCTTAATCCTTTTAAGTATTCAGATCTCTCTGTGTTAGGAAGGAAAGAGCAAACATCGTGAGTCATTTTGCATTTGTCAATCAAAAGTGAAATAATCACTGTGTTTTTTTTGTATAATCCTCTGCATTTTTCAAACTTTTGTTCATATCATTATGTGTCCCAGTAGACAAGGCATAATTACAGACGGTGAGTCATGAGGGAAAATCATCCTCCTCAGGCTGCTAAGTCAGAGTGTATCACTACATGTCAGGCTCACGTCTGCCCCCACCTTCTCAGCTCCCCCCAGGACCTCCCCTCCCTTCTTAGCTGCCTCCTTATACCCTGGTTGTGTGAACCCCCCTCATTTTTCCTACAAGCAGCTCCCCCTCCAGAAGACTGCAGCACTCTAAGCACACACACCTATGAGGAGCTGTAGCTAGGGACACAAAGGACTGGAACCAACAGGGCATGGGGACAGAAGTGGTAGGCACGCGGCAAGGGAGGAGGGAGGCCAGGTGCATCAGGACACGAGGAGTGGCAGCTGGTTGGAACAGGCAGCATCAGGGAGGAAGGGTCAATTGGGCTACACCCAGGACCAGCTTCCCAGGAAGAAGAGCTTAGGCCAAGGGGAAGCGGAGGTGTGGTCTGGAGCAGTGGCTCCCACCGTTGGGGGGACGGCAGCATGCCCGGGGCCCAGATATGTGTATCACCTCCAGACCTGGTCTGCAGCCTAGAAGGACAGCACGGGTCCAGTATGTGAGTACCGCTGCACAGCCATGTGGTGGAGAAAGGTCATTTACAAAGTCACATAAAAGGATTACTGTTTTCACAGTAGAGTTGTCATCAGATGTACTACCATCCACGGAAGGGTGTTAGATAACTGTGATGTGGTGCCCACAGATATTTTTGAGATTATAAAGAGATTCTCAAACTTTAAATTTTGTAGACCATAATCAGGGCTCTGGAGTTGGACATACTGAGCTCAGATCTGCTCTCATTAGCTGAGTGACTTTGGGCCATTCAGGTCACCTCCCATGCCTTGGTTCTGTCACCTGTGATGGGTTCTGAGGCGATTTCTCTGAGGTAGAGGAGAGAGCCTCCTTAAGCTTCCTGGCCTGTAGTCCATGCTTCAGTTAGGAGGTTCTGTCATTGTGGTTTCCATTCTCTGTGACCAAGAGCTAAGGATGAGTGTGCTCAGAATGAGAAGGGGCGTGTGGCCAGGGATCCAGCCGGAAATGAGCCTGGGACAGCCTGGTCCAGCTAGAGGGTCTGGGTCTTAAGAAACCAATTCTTTATCTTTAAAAAAGCAGCCCCAATAATATACTCTTCTTTAAAAAACAGGAACAGAAACAAGATAAGTATACATTTTCTTCTTTGCTTTATTCATTTTTAACAATTTATGCTGAGTCCTGAAAGTCAAGGCTCCCTGAAATTCTAGGAAGCAGAAGTTTGTATACAAAGCAGACTTGGCCCTTTCTGAGCAACTACTTTGGAAAGGAGTGTGTTTTTACTTTTGGCAGATGCTTTCAGAATCCATCCCTGTGGCCCTGATCACAGGGTGTCCCTCCACCCTGGTGCACTAGCACCTCATCTCTCTCTCTCTCTCTCTCTCTCTCTCTCTCTCGTGAGTGGGCACACGCCTCCAGCATTCATGCTCTGAGCCACTGAGGATTTCAACTCTGGCCTCAGCCTGGAAATGGAAAAGGAAAGGAAGGTTCTGTGAACCAAAGGACCCTAAAATCAACATATGCTTGTAAGAGGACCCTAAGAGCAGCCGGAGAACCCTCTGTGTTTCATTGATTTGCTAAAGTCTTGGGGGGCAAGTGCCTCTTCAAGCTCTTTTTCTTGTAAATAACTTGTAACGATAATCTATCCAGTACTACTTTCTCAGGCAAAGTAGCAAGCAAATCAAGTTTATAAAGAGATCTGTGCTTTTGATTGACAAATGTGTTCCTTTCTTTCAGTCAGATCACTCACCTTTCTGCCACGGAACTGTAGCTCAGAGCATAAAATCATCTTCTTTGCTTATTTTCAGAGTGTGGCCTCTAAGCTCAGGGGGAAGAATGAAAACTTTTGAGTAATAGTTTGGAGAAGAAATGCTATCATTAAGTGTAATTTTTATTCCAGTGCCTCTTAAAGGCAAAGTTGCCTTAACTCCCAGTGAACTCCACATGCCTCCTGAGCTCCATGCTTGCACACTTACTTGATGGAGTTGTTACACTAGGTTTGTGAAAGGTTGGAAGGTTTGTGGAATGAATGGAAAATTCAGCTTCCTCTCCCCTCCGCTCATCTCACTTTTCAGATGAATTGAGGGTGGTTAGAAACCACCCCCTCCCACCAACCTTTTCCCTTTTAATTGTTTCTAAAACTACAGCAGTGTAACTTTCTACTTTTGCAAATAGAATTACCTCGCCATCATTGAGATTCTGTTTTGTTGTTGGATCTTTTCGTACGTTAAATAAAACCCTGTACATATTAGTTTTTCTTTGGCAAAAATGTAATGAAGATGGTGTAAGGGAACGGCTGAATCTTAGCAGCCCTGGGCTGAAGGTAAGAACAGTGAGAACAATGGTGGGTCTGGGTTGCTTAATATCATTAACAGACACTTAAAACAACTAACGAGCTGTCTCTAAAGGATTTTGTACTGTGGTCCAGTGATCTTCCCACGTACAGTTAGGATACTTCTGAATCTGTGGCCTTGCTAAGTATGTTAAATCATAACTATCTTGATCTCTTAAAATAATAAGCTTCTTGATTGCGACCAAGATCTCTACAAGAATTTCCCCTTGGTGATCTCCGAGCGCTGGCAGCAGGAAGTAGCAGAAACAGTTTATGAAGCTGTAAATGCAGACACGGATAAAATCGAGGCCAGAAAGAGAGCTAAAAATAAGCAACTTGGACACGAAGAAGGTAAAATAGCCAGCATGTCTCAAAATATTTTCAATGCGATGAATTTTTAAAAAATTCTTGCAAAGCTGAGAAAGTATATGGGTCATAAAGTACTTTCCAGGGGTGGCAGGGGGAACACCATAAATAGTTTTGTGTGGCTTGGAAAAGCTCAGTGTAATATTTCAAAGTCCTCAGTCAACATATAAATGAAGGTGGTCAGCAGTAACGTGTCAGTGTGTCCTCCGATCGTGGAGCATTTAGAGTGAGTTGGCCAGTGAGGACTGAATATTACAGTGCCAGGAGTAGGCCTGGCTTCGTGGACGTGTGACCTGGGCCGCCACCTGGGATACTGCACTGGCTTGAATGCTCTGCTGTTACTGTCTTGATGTTCTTAATCATTTTTGAAAGGGGGCCTGCATTTTAATTTTTCACTGGGACCAGCGAAGCATGTCATAGATGGCTTTGGGGAGGGACTCAGCACACATGTCCCTTGTCAAGAGCTATAAATCAATATAATTACATTTATTTTACAACCAGCATTAAAGAATTGCGAAGCTGCATTTTTATTTACGATATTTGAGTGCCCTGTTGGGATTTCCAAAGCGGAGTACCTAACATCAAGTATTAAACTAGTCCGCCATGCTTGATTCACCAGATGTTGTCGCTTTCAATTTTTGTAAGATTTTATGAATCTGGGATATTTAAATGTATTGTGGTTAATGACCATGATGTCATTTGCTTTACTTCTAGGCAAAGACTTTTAAGGTTAGCATTATATAATAAGAGAGACTGTCCAGAAACAATTTCATTTTGTTATTAATAAGTTGCTTGAATGGGGGCAGTTTGATGCAGGCTCATTGGTCATGTTGACCAGTTCCTGGTAGCATTTATCACCTGCTCAGAAACGTGTGCCTGAGCTCAAATGGATTCTTCCTTATATAAAAGCTGCCTGAGTACCCCAGGGGAGCAGCACGGCCCCATAATTGTGCTCACCTCCACTCAGCAGGGAGAGGAGCTTCATTTCTAAGCTGTTCCTTAGAGAGCACGTCCATTGATATCACTCCGGACTGTTGACCATAGCAAATTTTACATGGGAAATTACCTCAGTAGTAATTTGCTCTGGGGAGGGCCATGATGTCACTAGAATCTTGACAAATTGGACCCAGAAAAAAATAGGTATACCTTAATGACCTTGTTGAGGTTATCCTTTTAATTAGCGCCTCAATTAGAGCACCTAGCAAATTAATGAATTTATCTTCATATACAAGTAATTGATTTGGGCATCTGTGGATCTTGGTTGAAGATCTCAGGAGTCATCTTATAAAACAGTACAGCCTAAGCTTAGGTCTCTGAAGCAAACCTGCAAGGCATCTGTCTTCCATATTCTTTAGCCATGCAAACACTTTCCCATTAAAATGACAACTCCAAGGAGCCTACCTGATCACCTCGTCCCCCCTGTCCTTGGTTCTTTGCCCTCCTGTATGTGGCACAATGTAGGTATTGCTGATCTATTTATCGTCTGGGTCTCCTAATAGAACGTTAGCTTTCTGAGGGCAGGAGTTCTGTCTCTGGTCATATAGCACTGATGAATCCAGAGTGCCCAGAACATGTCCAGCAATAGACATTCCCTTAATAGCTGAATGAGGGAAGGAGTGAATGAATGATTTTAGCATGATATCCAAAGCCTTTAAAGAAAACAAAGCCAGCCACTTCAAATTACCTTTAAAAAGAGAAAAAGGAGAGATAGCACTTCACTTTAACAATATGATCAGGACTCAACATGAGTGCGAATTAGCTCGGTCTATCTACCTAACCATATATTTGAGGCATAAATATAACTGAATGAACAAACAGTTTTGAGCCTTGTGTTACCTTGGCTGCTTGATAAGCCCCTTACTATTATTTATAGGATTGAGAGGAGAACCCCAGTCCCACATAAAGACACGGATACATTGAGCATTGTTTGAACGAGATTTCTCTCTACTCTCCAATTCCTGTTATTACACATACTGAAAAAATAGTTTGGGAACAAAGCTCTGCCCTCTCTGTGTGATAAGGGACCATCACAAATGTATCAGAATGTTGAGAAACAGCCATTCAGTATGTTAGCAGAGCCGAAGAGACCTCTTCCGATCCCCAGCTCACCTGTGTCTCAAAACGGAAATAGTGGTTTGCGTGACATGTTCCCTTGATAAAAACTTGATGTTTCCAAAGAGAGTGTAATTCTTTCTTGTTTGTTCCAGAAAATAATGTAGACAACCTGTGTCCGAGCCCATTTAATCCGTGGTTATATTATATTCCTCAGATTACGCTCTGGGAAAGGACTGTATCATGCACGGGTACATGCTGAAGCTAGGGAACCCATTTCTGACTCAGTGGCAGCGTCGGTATTTTTACCTCTTTCCAAACAGACTTGAATGGAGAGGAGAGGGAGAGTCCCGGGTAAGTTGAAAATGGCCTTACCAGCATGGACTTCCAGCATACTCGATGTCACGTGGCTCTTTCAGATTGCAGGCATGGCCTCTAAAATATCCCGCTAAGCTGTGGATATCTATTTTAACTTGTGCATATGAGATTTTGGTATCCAAACTTCAACTTTTTTAAACGTAGAGCCAAGGAAGGATTCTGTAACATCTCAGAATAGGATGTGAGGTCAAAACAGGTTTGAAGAAGTCCAGAGAAAGTCAAGGAGATCAAAAGAGGGGGAAAAAAATCCAGGACTTTGGAGTCAGACAGAGGTCCTTCAATCCAGAGCTCAGAGAAGATCTGACATCTACAATATGGCTAGATGGTTGTAGGTCCACCTGTGCTCAGTCTTCCCTCATGTGGCCTCCCCTCGTCAGGCTCAAATCAACTAAGTGATGTAAGCCGTGACTCTGGGCACAGAGGTGAGGTTGCCAAGCCACACTTCCTTTGGTCTCTGTTTTGTTGGAAAAGTGTGACTTCCATACCATAGGCAGGAAGATACCTCTCCTGCCTCAGGTCCTTTTCTCAAGGGCTAATGTTTGTGAACAAGATAAGAAGAAATTTCGAATCTGCACTGTCCCTTTACACAAGGCAGTCAGCATTTATTAAGCGTCTACTGTGTGAGGAGTGGAGGGCTTACTTATCTAGGGGTAGCAAACCAAGAAAAAGGTATGCTTCTGTTCTTGGGGAGGGATTGGCTGGTCATCTGGGGCCAAGGAAGCAGGGCGATGGTGGTTCCAAATGTCAAAACACAGTCAAGTCTTGGATATGTCAGAATATTGCCTGTCAGTTGTTGGGTGGTGAGAAGTGTAGAAAGTAGTAAGCTCTAATCTTGTATTTTCTGACTTTAGAATGTGTTTTTAAATCCTCATTGGTAAAGAGGCACCTTGGGTGGCTCAGTTGGTTAAGCATCTGAGTCTTGGTTTTGGCTCAGGTCATGATCTCAGGGCTCCTGAGATTGAGCCTCGCTTTGGCTTCCATGCTCTGCAGAGTCGGCTTGTCCCTCTCCTGTCCCCTCTGCTTTTTCCTCCAACCACATGCTCTCTTTCTTTCTCAAATAAATAAATAAAAATAATAAATCCCCATTGGTAAAGCTGATATTTAATTATGAGTGATTGCTACTGCACGGCACATTCCTTTCAGATAAACAAGACTTCTCACCATTATTAGTGCCATGGAAGTCACTTTCTCAAACTAATACATCTAGGCTGTGAATTGCTATTAATAAGTTTCTTTGAGGGGGGCTCTTGAGTTGTAACTCAGGTGCTGGTAAGTATTATATAATACATAATATTATATAATATAGATTGTATTTTACAAATGTATAAACTCAGCACCCAAATTATAATTCATATATATTATTATTATATAATGTATTTCCTGATAATAAGTGGCCCTGGGCATATTACATATTTACAGTTGATCCTTAAATAACACGGGAGGTCAAGGGTCTTGGCCCCTCACACAGTCGAAAACACATGTGTAACTTTTGACTCTCCTAAAACCTTAACTACTTGATAGCCTGCTATTGACCAGAAGGCTGACTGATAACATAAGCAGCACGTTAACACATAATTTGCATGTTACATGACTTATATACTATATTCTTACCGTAGAATAAGCTAGAGAAAAGAGTATTATTAAAAAAAATCACAAAGAAAAGAAAATACATTTACAGAATGGAACTGTATGGAAGCGTACTGTCTTTATGGGGAAAAAAAATCCCTGTAGAAGGGGACCCACACAGTTCAAACGCATGTTTTTCCAGGGCCAGCTGTACTCTGCTGTCTACTAGACAGTCACCCTGGTGCACGTTGAAAGGAAATGACTTCACTTTTCAGGATATGTGAAAACTTAGAAAATCTTCCCTTTTTTTTAGACATCAGGTATGATAGGTTAGCTTGGTTTGAACAGTCAGCATTCAGTGTTCTGTGTGAGAGCTATCTAGTATATATGGATGGATGGATTAGTAGGTATCAGTCAGGAAACAGAAAACATGAGCATTTATGACAGTGTTGTTCTTCATTTCGGAGTCCTGAAGTATTTATAAAAAAAAAACATAAAATGGTAAGGTCCTCATGACACTATAGCATTCACCTCAAGCATTCATGTTATAGACCTAGTGTGACCATCTTTTAAGGGTGTCACCTCTGTTTATAATATCCTGTTGATCTTTTCAAAATATCATTAGCTCACAAGCCAACATTGCCAGACCTTTCCTGAGCTGCCATGCCAGAAATTTAGCCATACCCCGTTCACACATATAAGTCATACAGCACTTTGTTTTGTTTCCTCACAACTTGGTCCATAGAATTCAGACGAGTGTGCAACACAGAAAGGACACGTGCAAGTCACAGCCATTCAGATATCAGTTCTGTTGCCAAGGGAACAGCTGTGCTATTGTTGTACAGAGACATTCCGTTCTTTGCCATTTCCTTCGAGATGCCATAATTTGAATTTTGTGCATGTCCCTTTGTAGCCATTCCCTCTCACTTCTAGAATATCATCAAAGAGAGGAAAAGGCTGATTTTTTCTTTTTACTTTTTCCAAGCTGATAGTTTTCTGTATTATTTATTAGTTTAACTTAAGAAAGGAAATAATGTGAAGTAACTTATTTTTTTATTTTTATGACTAGCAAAATTTACTGACGATGGAACAAATTCTGTCTGTGGAGGAAACTCAGATTAAAGACAAAAAGTGTATTTTGTTGAGGATAAAAGGAGGGAAGCAATTTGTCTTACAATGTGAGGTGAGTTTTTCAGTTTTTAAAAAAATCTTCCCCCAAGTGAAAGTTAGAGCAACTGTATGCCTACCCAGTGGGGATGGCCCCCCAGGTATGGAGAGCTTGAATCCCTGCTTTATGGCTTAGCAGGGAAGCCCCAGGGTACAAGGTGCTCACCAGATTATGGGTTACTTACAAAAGTGAATGGCAGAAAATGGCACGAGAGGTAGTATGTGGAATAATCTGAGCCCTGTCTGGAAGCTCTGTCTGGTGTGTGGCATGGGCCTGTTTGTTAGCCCATCTCCCAATTCCTATCTTTCAGTATGTTGGTGTTTGAGGCTTGGATGTTTAAGGAGACACAAGATACCAGTGACTTCTCTCAGGGAAAATGCCATCTTCCTCTCTCCAAAGTTCTATTGTACCCAAATTTAATTCCTTTGGGGTACTGTGGTGTGTAAGGGCAGAGAGTGTAGGATGTGGGTGTGTATAGGGGGGACGTGTGTGTGCCTGTGGGGGGTGTGCATGGAGGGTGCGTGTGTAGTAGGTGTGGGTGGGTGCGCATGGGTGTGTGTGTGTGTGTACATGTGGGGGTGTGGGTTGCATGGGGGGGTGCATTGTAGTGGGTGTGAGTGCGTGTGCATGGGGGAGTGTGTACATGTGGGGGGTATACATGGGGTATGTGTGCACGTAAGTGCATGTAGGTGGTTGTAGGGTACTGTGTATAGAGGTGGGTCAGTGTAGGGTGTGTGAGTGTACTTGGGAGTGGAGGGAGTGTTGGGGGTGTGTGGGGTGTGGGTATGCATGGGTGTGTATATGCACACATGTATAAATGTGGGTGGTTGTAGGGTACATGTGTATGTATGTAGGTGGGGAAAGTGTTGAGGTGTGTGGGGTATGTATATGCACAAGTGCCTGTGTGGGTGGTTGTAGGGTGCATGTGTGCAATTAGATGGAGGCAGTTTGGGGGTATATGGGTGTGTATGTGTGTGTGTGTGTGTGTGTGTGTGTGTGTGCACGAGAGCATATTTAGAGAGAGAAACGAGTTGGAGATACCCAGAATGTGTGTCAGTAGCTTCACCACTACATTGTACATGTGATGGTGCTTGTTCACTAGTCAGAATTTCTCCTTAGTCATTACCGTATAAACTTGAGTTGTTTTAGGGATCAGAAATCAGAGGCAATCTCTGAATGGATCACAGGTAGTGCCTCTCAGGGTGGGGGCGAGGGATCCCCGCGGGGCTTGCCAGCTGTCCTGCTCCCTGCAGGGGGCCCTGGAGGAAGCCCCCACATGGCCCGCAGTTCAGCGGAGCGGCCCGCAGTTCAGCGGAGCGCCGTGGGCCAGAGATCTGGGTGGTGTGCTCCTTGCCAGAGGTGAGCCAGTCATGCCCATTGCTACTTGTCCCTCTGTGTGTCCGTGTAGAGCGACCCTGAGCTCGTGCAGTGGAAGAAGGAGCTGACCGAGACCTTTACGGAGGCCCAGCGGCTGCTGCGCCGCGCGCCCAAGTTCCTCAACAAGTCTCGGTCCAGCGTGGTGGAGCTGTCCAAGCCTCCTCTCTGTCACAGGAGCAGCAACGGCCTCTGACACCCGGGACAGGAGGGTGTTGGGGAGATTGGGCCTTTCAGCCCTTGACATGGAGCCTTTTGGAGAAGTCTGAGGGTCAGAGGTTCTGTTCACTTGTTCCTGGGGCCCTTCCACGATGGGGAGGACCCAGGACACCGAGGTGCTCCTAATAGGAGCTGTGACTGTGCTCGGGGTCCGGGACTGGCCTCTCAGCCTCCAGTGCCTCCTGCGCATCACATCTGTCTCTGCTTGAAACTACTGAAGAAACAAACAAAAGTTCTTTCCCTTTGTTCCCCACCTGTTTGGGTGGACATGAACCTCCAAACTTGAAATGATCCCTGCTTATCACTTCAGTTTGTATGTCTGATATCAAACCTATCTTAGACTTGCCAAGTGGGAGTGCAGCCCCTGACGGCATTGAGGCTGGACGGCCCGAGCACTGCCCTGTGGCACCTATGGGGCTCGCACGTGTCCACTCCAACACCACTGGATGGGAGGTCAGCCGTGCGCTTCAGCATCGACTTCCTGAGGCCCCAGCCTGCGAGCTGAAGATACTTTCTGAGACGGTTGCACGTGGGCCCCCACTGTGTGAGCGGCAGCATCCAGGTACCTGCCCGCCTCCGACAGAGAGCAGAGGTGGGGAGTCATCCATCACCGAAGGCGTTTAGCAGCGGGTCGTTGGAAGGCTTTACAGGGATTCCAAAGGACAGGCAGTGGGGTTTTAACTTTCATGGCAACAGTGATTTTCAGAAATCGTCAAATAAACAAATTGCACTTTCACATGTCTGGGTGTGCACAGACACTTGGGGGTAAGTCTGTCCTGGGCCCTGACAATAAGCAGTTTTAGGATACAGTCGTTCTGGTTCCTTCTGCCTGCCCTTGGGACACATATCCGTAATGGATGCATATAGGAAGGAAAGAATTGCTCTGTTTCACATTATAGTATAGTTTAAAATGAATTTTATTGACAAAAGAATGCTGAAGAATGAATGTGTTGAAATGAGTTAACCGTGTATGTTGACTTTCATGTTATCCTCCACCGGTCCTTAGTAAGTGGTCCTTGGCCCCGGGTGGGTCGTCCCACAGCGTGACAGCAGTGGAGCAGGAAGGCCGGTCGCCTGATCCCTGGGGCATCTTATCTTCTCTTCACAGTCTGTTCTACAATGCGTTCTGCGCCCTTTTCTCGCCCCCAATAAATGCCGGGCTGTAAGAACCAGTGTGTTTCCCAGTGAAGTCTCTCTGTCATCAGACTAGAAATAATAACAATAATTTTTAAAGTCCACATATTTGTCTTATTCTTAGTGCAATCTTGTTGTATGTTTCTAAGTCAACTACTAACAATATAAATAACTTAACATTATCATTATCTGCATCCTGCCCTCGATATTTTTAGTGGCTCCAAATCTCTGTGCACTGTGTTCTTTGAGAAAGTGAGGACTTCTTAATGAAATTATATTTTGAGAGTTTGGAAGATAATTACTGAAAGTTTTTATATTTCATAAGAGTCGCCTTGGAAAAGAAATCTGGAGGTCGACTCTCCATCTCAACTGCTAGTTGAGGTTTAAATTAACATCCACGTTCTACTCTGCTATTTCCAGTAGAGGAGGACAGATGCACTCTTTACATGCATCCCCCTGGTTTAAAAGGGAAGAACAGTGTTCACATTCTGCTTTTTAAAAAACCAAAACCAAAAAACCACTAGCAACAGAAAAGTAACTGTTTCTCGTAAAGGGCGAGCACCTTGCGGCCGTAGTTAATGACATTTGTTACTGCTGTCACCCCCTCCACTGCCAGCTCCCATCGCTCAGCATTTGCAGGTTAGAAATTGCTATATCCCAAGCTTCTGCGGGACATTCGAGGCTGTCCTGTCAAGAAGGGCACAGATTCCTTCAGGATCCGGGCTTAACGTCTGCCATTTCACACCTAGGACATTAGCCAGGCCAACCTGCAGCTCTTTGAAAGATAGCATTTTTGCTCTGGAGTAGAACATGAGGTTGATCTTTTAGAAAGGAAACATAAATTGGGAAATATCCTGAGAGCACTTTTGCCTCAAACCTAATTTCCAGTGTTGGCGTCTTGTGTGGCCAGGCTTCTGCCTACACTTGTCCCTGCAGCCATTCTGACAGGGCCAGCGTCTCTGCTGCCAGACGGAAGGTGCTTCTGGGACCCTTCTGTGCCAGCACGTTGTGCCTGCATGGCCAGCGAAGGCCACTGGTGTAGAGATCTTGGTATACTTGGTTGGCTATTTCAGAGAGTTTTAAGAGCATTACATCATTCTTAGATGTTTGACCCTCCCTACGTTTAGAACATTAAAAAGGACAAAATTCACACACTTTCTCATTCAAAGAAGATAAACTTGATACTATTTTTGTAAAGCTATAATGTCTTGATTCCATAAATCAAGGGAATTAATAAAGCAAAGTCTAAAGACTCTAAGATGGCTTTGAGCTGCTATCCAACATAGATGGAAGAAATTAAAAACTTTAGTGACTCCAAGGTTATTTTTTTAAGTTAAAATATTCTCTCTGGTGCATTTGTCCCTTCATGGCATTGAGAGTCATGGTTTTTCCCTCTACTATCATGTAAGTATGATTTTTCAGCAAAACTTCTAGAAATTAGCTGCTTCGCCACTAATGCAAATGTCTCCCCACTCATGCCTCTGATTGGCCAATCTGCACACATTACAGTTTCAAAATTTGTGTGGAAAAAGTAGGGCCAGAGATGAAGGAAAGCAAACATCCTGCCCAAGAAAGGCCACCACCGCCACAACACGCAACCACAAGATCTAGCCTGATGTGTGATTTGAAATATGCCATATGGATACTAGAAACAATTGTTTTAAGGCCCTTACTGGCCATTATAAAATATCCTTTACCAATTGACAGTGAATTTTAACTCCGTGAAAAAGAACAAAGTGTGGTTTTTCTCTGATGATTCAAAAAATTTCACTTGGAATTTGTAGTTGGGCCAGTTCAATACAGTGTTTGACTTTTCAGTGGTTTTTCATATCAAGAAGAGAAACAAATTCTCAGAGTCGGACCTTTTTCACATAATGTAAATCTGTAAAATGTACTTTGAAATGTGCTGGTGTTAAGAGAAGACTTACTTTGTAGGACTTAGTCATACATAGATTTTTTTTTTTTTCCCTCAGTAATTTTTTTCAGGGAAGTGTTTCTGGGTCATTCAGAGATGGCTGATGACTTACGTCCTCCCCACCCCTGAGGACCAACTCGTTTGTGCCCAGAGAGGAGGTGGGCTTCACCGGAGTCTGTGGCAGGTGGTGTCTGGGAGTCATGGGCTGTAGGGATGGGTGAGCGAGTGCCAGCCAGCCAAGAACAGTGGTAGAAATGGGGCGAAGGAAGGAAAGCATTAACTTGCAGGTGAAAAAGCCATTCCCTTTACACCAAGCACCAAGGAAATAAAGTTGGCTAATTCTTTTCCTCCTTACAATGGGAGTTGAATAGTAATTACCGTGAGATATAGTCACTTTATTTTCAATTAGAGTTGCTGAACTTATGGACAGGCCATCGGCTTTCCATCAGGGCTCTGCACACCCTCCAGCACCCTCCAGGAAGGCACCCAGCACCCAGAGTTAACACCTGTCTGTGTGTGCCTCGCAGCCACTGGGATGGCCAGGCACAGGATCTGGGGCCTGGGGCCCTGAGGCCAGCCGCAGACCTCATTGCTCATCCACTGGAGCCGCAAGAAGACCCCCAGAATAACAGCACATTGCTTGCTGTTTGAGCCATGCCCACTTGTAGAGTGAGCTTTAGCAGTTTAAATTTTGAAAACGTTTCTTCCTAAAGATCTACCATGATTTTCCCTCCCATGAAAGGTTGACTCCAGACGTCTGAATTAATCAGTTACTTATAAATTCATATGAATATCAATTTTTTCTTTTTACCCAGGCCACATTTCAAAGAGGTTTTTATTTTCTTGTTGAATTAATGAAAACCGAACTCTGAAATGATACCATTTCCTCAAGTCGTAATGTTAGATTTCTTTCAGCCTCAAAGACCAATAGACCTGCTTTTTTATAGCCGAAGGACAAGGATGCCTTCCCCACCTTGCCCAATGCCCAGCCACTCACTGATGTGGCCGGGGGGCACTGATCGGTAAATGCAGCACCCCAAATGTTAAATTACCTGTATTTAAACATACACACGTACTCCGTACAGAAAATGAGTTAGTAGTATATGCATTTCATCAAAAGCCTGCAGAAACAAAAACTGTGTTTTAAAGTTTCAGCAACTCCCATTCTTATAGTAAACTCTCCTATACACCACAATCTCAAAACCATCTCTGAAAACTGGTAACTCTGCTTCCATATTTAATTTCGTCCTAATATAAAAACGTCTTTCATGTAAGGGTAGGGAATGGAAAACTATTTCTAACCATGCACTCATAATTACAAAAGGACTTGAAATTTAATTCCCCGTGTCTCAGTTGATTATATCCCAGGTTGTATATATTATATGTGGTTTATAAGCTAAACACTGGCCATTTTTTTAAGTTCTATTGTAAAATCGTATTTTTCTATGTTTTAACTAATTACAGTAGATTTGGCTTTTTCTGAGTAACATAAAGATTGCTAAACGACATATATTAAAAAACAGAGTTCTATTTTAGCACAAAAGCATTTTATATTATTTATTGAATCCTTACATTTGTTGTCATCAGAAACATTCCTTCTTTCTGCTCCTTTTTATTTGTATAGTTTGTTATTTAAGGAGACGGCAGCCCTTTCTGTGTTTCATAAAGTGGAAATGATGCACACAGCATTATTGTGGGGCAAACATCCCCCCTCACTGCCATGGACTGTTTGCAACAAAAGCTCACCCTCTGGTCTGTGCTGAGACATATGCGCTTCCTGGGCAACATCTGACAGCCACCTTGCCGAGAAATACTGCTTTCATCTACCTCTTCAGAAGGCCTCCTGCTTGTTGACAGGCACCCCCAAATGCTTGCTTCTAGACTGGCTGCATTATCAAAGAATCTCAAACACATTTCGGCGGGATTCCCTCTTGATGTCAATGTTAAAGCCACAGCATCATCTAAGCCAGCGGGGCAGGTAGATAGATAGCCCTTCTGCATCGTTCTGGAGCCCAGAACCGCCTGCAGAGCATCATTTCCTACTCTGATTGTGCCAAATCCCTGGAATCCGTCCTGCCATCGCCAGGAGATTCGACTGTTGCACCTGATTTATCAAGTACTAAACGGGAGGTCGGTCCTCAGCACTTGTTACAAGTGGCCAGCCGTGATTAAAAACACCCCTTCCAGGAGGAGCGCATTTGAACGTAACCACCCCCACCCCTTGCTGTCTCAAAATGGTTTGGAAAATGGGGTCCTAAAGACTAATGCCCTCGTATGTGATTAAATCTTGGCCAGAGGCCCTATTCTTGAGTTGACGGACCCTCAAAGATTTCTGTGAGCTAGGATGGATGACCGGTCTCTGGGAGAGGGGGTTCCTCCTCACGTGTTGACATTTCTCTCCGCCCTGTCTTCCTCGCTGGGTAGCCATCAATGTGGCAACATATTCACTATATTCTTGGCAACCTGTCACACCCTTTAAGAAAGAAATCCGTGTTCTCTTGTGCGTTGCCCTACGAGGTGAAGCCGGTGAATTAGGTATTGTCAATCTAGATGTTGTACCTATAAAATGATCATTTGTCTTGGTGTCTCTTTGCATTGATTGTGCCAGTGGAAGTTTCTAGCCCTCTCCTAGTACACACTTAACTAGTGCACGTTGGAAGTCCTATCCTTCGGGAGACGTCGTTCCACGCCTGCGGTCACCCACCCTGTGCGGGGCACGTACTGTCATTTGGTATCACCGTCTTTCACAGCTATTTTGGAGCAGCTAGGCTGGTTTCTTCTGTTGATAAATTGCTTCTATAAAATCTCAATAAAAAGGCTCTGTACAAAGATACCTACTTGGGTGTGCTGTCCTTCCCACCCCCACCCCCTCCAATGAAAACCTGCACTTCTTTATCAAGCTGCTGAGATATCAGGAAGTGACTCCTTTTAAAGAATCCCAGTTTTGAGGACAATCCATGCAGAGACTGATTTTATAAAGAGGAAGGGAGAGCCAGCCTGGATTCCTTCGGATTTTGTGGATTGTCGGAGCACAGTCCACCTCATGGTTTCGGGGGCTTGGAGGCCCAACTGCCTGTGCCTCCTGCAAGACATATTGTAGGGAAAGAGCCGGTGACAGCTCCTGGGGTGCGGGGTGTCCATCTCCTCCCCACTTAGCCTAGGCTACACTGGCCCCCCCCCCACCCCAGCATGCTCCCAGGGTGCCCTTGGACTCCCTCAGGGAAGTGCAAACCCCTCGCTCTCCATCCCTGCTCTCTCAGAGACCAGCTGAGAGACCCCGGGGTGCATGTCAGGTTAAACCAGAAACCCAAGGAGGTGGTGACCCCAGGATCCCTGCCGCCTGTGCAGACCTGCCTGCTTGGGGACCGTCGGGTCTAGGGTAGGCTGGGTATTTCCTGTCCTTGAGCTGGAAGCACCTTCTGTGTCGCCCTGGCTCAGGAAAGAAGGCAGGCAGGATTGACTCATGTAGCTCTTTGGTTTCCCTGCAATGTACTAGCGTCTGCCAGCTGGAAAACCATTTCTCCGAGTAGTTGACAGGAGGCCAACTGTGGGGTGGGTGGTCAGCTCCATGGGCAGAGGGTGGCAGCGCAGTGGAGCCTTTGGTCGGATGCGCCACCTCACTGAGAGCCAGTCCCCAGAGCCGCTGGAGGCCTGTCCCCCCTCGGGGCCTGGAAGGGGGTCAACCCTGGGCACCCTGCCAAGCCGGCCTCTGGGGCAACTTGTTTGCTCTGCCGTTTTCTTGCCTCTGAATTGTGAAAGTTGAGTTAGATGAGCCCGAAGGACCATTCCTGCCAAAATCTCCAGGTTTCCAACTAAAGGTAAATGTGAGGGGCTTAGGCAGGACTTGGGAGCAAAAAGGAAGTGCCTGCTGTGTCCCATGGTTGCTCCCACATTGCCTCACGGATAACTGCTACCCGGTTCTCTAAACCTCACCCTCCCAGCCTTCCTCCCCAGCCCTTCCTTCCCATTTCTGGCCCTATGTACGTGACGTGGACAAGAAGACAGGAGCCCAAGGCCTTCCCCTTCCTCAGGTACCTGGGATGGGAACCGCCTAGAAGAGTGTTTCTCGGCCCAGCATGTCTGGGGCTGGTCGTCTGGGGCGCCAGCGGGGCCGTCCTGTGCCCTGTAGGATGTTGAGCAGCCTTCTCAGCCTCTACTTGCTGGATGCTAGTGCATGCCCCCTACTAGCCAGTCTTGACAACCCAAAATACCTCCAGACGTTGCCACACATGCCTTGCAGGGAACAAAACCGCCACCAGTTGAGGACCCCTGGTGCTAATGATGGGACATTCTCAGTGTGTTGGGGTCAGAGTTGGGGCACGGAATCCACAAAGGTTGTTGCCGGGGTTAGTGGCCAGAGCCCTTAACTCCTGGGCGGTTGCGTGGACCATGAGCCCTGTCTGCCATGTGTTTGTTGTGGCCAGACTCATTGTGCTGCCAGGAAATGAGCTTGACAAAGTGGTATTGAAGGTAATGCCAGCCCTGAAGGTGGAGGAGCAGGTGTTAGTGTTAAAATTCCAGGGGGCGGCGGGAGGCGAAGCACTTGGCTGGCTCGTTTGGTTAAGCATCTGGCTCTTGATTTCAGCTCAGGCCGTGATCTCAGGGTTCTGGGATTGAGCCCTACGTGGGACCCCGCACTGAGCATGGAGTCTGCTTGAGCTTCTTTCCCTCTCCCTCTACTCCTTCCCCCCTTTGCATGCACACGCTCTCCTCTGTCTCTGTCTCAAATAAATAAATCTTAGGGAAAAAAAAATGCAAGAAGGGGATGGGTTCTTCATGTGGCCCAGGGCTTCCTCTGACACCTCTTCATTTCTTTTTTAATGTCAATGTATTGGACAGATTTTTCTAGACAGCGGGTCAGATCCAAGAGATGCAGTGGGGGTGGGGACATGAAACAGCATGCCAGTGAACTTCCCCCTCATCTCAGCATCGACTTTGCCCACGGCTTTGACTAGTGACTACAGGGGTGAGCGTGGGAGCGCGTTGTGTCAAGGGGTAGCAGCACTGGTGCTGGATTTGGTCACGAGTCCCTCTATCTTGCCAGGTATGGCATGGATGACCTTGGCCAGGGAGTCTGTGGTGGACAGTGTCACATGCTGTCTGGATCCTCCTTCAGTGGAGGACTTCTTATCTGTGCTCAGGCGGCCCTCAGCCGTCTCCCCTTCAGGGAGGCCTTAGCTACGGAGAGCACCACACCCTTCCCAGGGTGCCCACATCCAGTGACTGGTTGACACAGAAGTACAAAGGCCCGGCCATCTTGGTCCCAATTTGGGAACACAATAGGTCACAGTGGGGTTTCCTGAGGCTATTGGGGGCCATCGTCACAGCTAGACATTTCCCTCTGTCCAATGCTAATTTCTCCATCCTTCCATAGATGTAGATACCAAGAGAACTCCTTAATGAACTTCTGTTCTTTAAATTCGCAGAGTCCACTTCCCCCAGGAAACCAGTCTGCAGTGTTCGTCCCGGGTGTGGTAGAGAAAACAGGCGCTGAAGTGGGGTGTGGGGGCTGCATCACCCACTGCCCGGTTGGCCCTGGTCACAGATGGGAATCGGTGGTAGTAGGTGGAACATAGAAAGCCCCTAGTTCAAAGAAAGGGGCCCTTCCAGCGTTCAAATTTGCAACAGGGGTGAGTGGGGGTGGCACCCCAGTGGGAAGGGGTGCACTGGCTGCTGTGTCCTATCGAGCTGGGAAAAAAATTGCAGTCTAAGAGCTGGAACACAGAAAAGGAGCCTCGTGCACATGCTCCCAGGAAAGATAAAACTTTAAGGCTGAGAGACTGATTTCCCATAAATGCCTGATTCACAGAAGACCGATAGTGTTGGAATTTCCTTGGCTGATGAGACGTTGGTCAGAGGTTGTCCCCTCTTCCACCTTGGGACACCTTGCCAGAGGTGTGAACCGGAGGTGACGCAGGTCCTGTTGGTCTCCCGAAGCAGGCTGAGTGGACCTCTGTGTGGCTGGATTGGTGTTGTCTGTCTGGGGAGTTTTCAGAGCTGGTGTCCGTTTGTCATGGATTTTAACAGACCCTCACAGAACAGCCCCTTCTTTACATTCCTACCCATAAATACAACCTACCCCAAGCCCTGGACCCCACCCCCACCCCACCTGCAACCCGAGACTGTTTGCTTGGCCTGAACTGCAATCCCTCTGCTGTTCCTGAATAAACATGCATTTTGAGCATGCTTCCGTCTACTTGTTTTTTCAGGGCAGCAAAGCGTTTGAGATAGTGGGAGAGAGTGAACCCTGGACGGTGGGACTGGGTGGCTATCCCCAAGCCTAATGAATACTTTGGGGAAAGATCGTAAGAAGCACAGAGGAATCAGTTGCCAGCAGAAAGCAGTGTGAGTCAGGGCCTCGTTGGTGGCTTGCAAAGAGGGCCACATCCCGAGTGGGAGGGAAAGAAAACGGGGACCAGACCCAGGGCTGAGTCATCAGATCAGATGGGCACCGAGGGTGGTTAAGCTCCGGGCAGGTCTGTCTGCTTTACCAAGACACACCCTGCTTGGGAAAGAGTGAGACCTTGTCACACAGGAGGGGGACACCCGAGCAGAAGCCCTTGCGAATCTCGGATCTCCAGCTTCCTCTGACCCCTCCAAGGCTGCAGCCGTGTTCTACTCCTTCCTACGATGACACAGCGTCCCCCAGTCCCGCTGGCCTGAGGCGGGTGCAGTGGCACCCCAGGGTCCCATCGGGGGGCTGCGCCTCCACACTCCTGGCCACCAGGTCTGCAGCTAGGGTGACGTCCCACCCCGCCCTGCCGGGAAGGCGATGAGGGAGGGGAGGGAGTCACAGCCCAGCACCAGCAGCCAGCAGGGATGGGCCGGAGCGGGGCTTGTCGCCAGGAGAACAGGCCTTGGGGCCAGCCGTGGGAGGATGTACGCATCCGGGACCGCTCTCCTGGGCTGCAGGATTGTCGCCCTGGCAAGGGTACCACGAGCCCGGCTCCTCTGAGCATGGCGAGCGCAAGGTGGGGGCTGAGATGCTACAGTTCCTGAGGTAGGCGGTGGAGGAAGGGATTAAAGAGTATAGAGATGTGGGCACGCCTGGGGCCTGTCCTGGGCAAGGCCGCAAAGCCCGCCGCAGGGCCCGAGGACACCGCAAGGCCATCCCGAGAGACGGCACCAGGTGCCGCGCTAGGCAAGGCCTTCACAGATCTATGTTTGGTCATTCAGTCATTCAACAAACACTCACTGAGCACCTACCGTGGGCCACGAGGGACGGGGACAGTCAGTGGCATCAGGAACCCCATTTTATAGACAGGAACCCGGAGGCCCAGCGAGGTGAAGCCACTTCTTCAAGATGTGTGAGCACAAGCTCCAAAGCCTGTGCCCTTCCCAACACCCAGAACTCTGTAGACACGCCACCTCCAGACCCTGGGCACGGGGTGGGCTTCGGGGGTCCCTCTACGGAGATCCCTCCCACCTCTACACTCCGGGCTGTCGTCTTCTGTTCACCAGCTACTGTGTCCACCAGAGATTCCACGAGCACCTGCTCAGTGCCTGGCCTGGTGCTGGGTGACCGGAATGAGCGGGAGACCACAGTCTGGTGAGAGATGGACAGACAGACAGACGTCTAGAGAATGCAGGATGTGGGACTGGGTGCTGGGACACCTGCTCTGGTCCAGTTTCCATACATTTGGTTATTTATTCCATATACATTTACGGAGCACTTACTGTGTACCAGCCACTTAAAGAGACACAGACACAGAGTCAGTTCCCCTTCACCCCCTGGGGACTGTGACACACAACACAGGCCCCGCGGTAGTCATGTGGGGGGGATTCTCATGATTGCCCCACAACACTCAGATGCACAGGACTTTTCTCCAGTTTATCAGCACACACACACACACACACACACACACACACACACACACACACACGGTTCTCTGAGAATAGTAGGGATGATAGGAGCCCAAAAGAAGAGAGGCCAGGGCCTGGGTGATGGCATTCGGCCACCAGGAGCCAAGCAGAAGCAGTCACCTGGCCTGCAGTGAGATGGGGTGCCTGGGGCCCCCCGACTCTCAGGCTGTATGGAGATGATGAATACAATGTGGGATCCCCAGCAACAAAAGAGATGGACCCCCAACAAGAGTCCTACTCAAAAAAGAAGGATGACCAGGAGGCTTAAGTCAGTCGTCCCAATAAAATATTACAACCGAGGGGCACCTGGGTGGCTCGGTTGGTTAAGTGTCTGCCTTGGGCTCAGGTCACGATCTCAGGGTCCTGGGATGGAGCCCTGTGTTGGGCTCCCTGCTCAGCGGGGAATCTGCTTCTCCCCTTGCCTCTGCCCCCCCCCACCAGTGCATACACACACATACACACACACACAAATAAAATCATTAAAAAATAAAATATCACAATCCACCCCTTGGCCATTTTGTGGATGCAGAACTGACCAGCTGCAGACGAGGCCAGTCTCGGGAGGGGCAACTGACGGCCCCAGGGCAGGTGCGCTCTCGGTTCCTGGTCTGGGTCCCAGAGGACCTACAGCCGCTTGGACTGTCCCTACTCCAGAAGGCCCAGAAGGGGCCAGTTTTGCGGGGGCCTTGGTAAGAGTGCCTTCACTTTCTTGTCCTGTCCTGCCACCTGGGGAACAAAGCCTGGAGACCTGGAGGCAAAAGCTCAGCCCGGTGACAAAATACTCCTTACCAGGGCTGCCCTAGGTCATAGCGTGGGCAGAGCAATACTTTGAGCACCACGTTTACCAGGGGAATGAAGCAGACATGCCAGGTGCCCTTGGGACCCGGTGCCCTTCAAGTCAACCTAACGGTCACTGCAGATTGAGGCTGGCGGAGACCCCCGGCCAGGCCTGGAGTCATTTCTGCAGGTCCACCCCAGCACGTAGCACGGCCATGAAAGGATACGGAAGATTGAATAGGACAGACGAGCACCAGCCAGTTTTAGCCCCAGGGGGTGGGTTCACGTCTCATAGTCCAAAGAAAACAATTTCCATAAACTTCCAATAAAATGCTGAATTTTGGGCAGCCCAGGTGGCTCAGTGGTTTAGCGCCGCCTGCAGCCCAGGGCGTGATCCTGGAGTCCCGGGATCGAGTCCCACCTCGGGCTCCCTGCATGGAGCCTGCTTCTCCCTCTGCCTGTGTCTCTGCCTCTCTCTGTGTGTCTCTCATGAATAAATAAATAAAATCTTAAAAAAAATAAAATCTTTAAAATAAAATGCTGAATTTTATAAACTTTATGAATTTTATAAAATGCTGGGTGTCTCTTTCTTCTTTCTTTCTTTCTTTCTTTCTTTCTTTCTTTCTTTCTTTCTTCTTCCTTCCTTTCTTCTTTCTTCCTTCCTTTCTTTCTTTCTTTCTTTCTTTCTTTCTTTCTTTCTTTCTTTCTTTCTTTCTTCTTTTTCTTCTTTCTTTCTCTTTCTACCCAGAAGGAAGTACATACCTTGAGAATACATCGCCCCATCAGCCACAGGGATAGAACAACATGGACTACTGGTTAAAATGTTTTGTAAGAGAAGCAGCATGTGTGTTTGAATGGAATGGCCGTGGGCTTTGGGATCAGAAAGATCTGGATTAAAAAAAAAAGAAGAAGAAAGAAAGATCTGGATTTGAGCCCCCGGCTAGTTGTGCGGACTTGTAGGATGAGCTTAACCTATAGGCGCCCTTACTTTTCTCCCCCTGAGCAGTGGACACGGTACTTTTTATACTTTACAGCATCCTGTTGATGCCGCATTTAAGACTGTGCTCCCTGGGTTTGAATCCTGCCTTTCCACCACTTTGGGCAAGTTGGTGGACCTCTCCGTGCCTCAGTCTCCCCATCTGTCAAGCGAGAGTGGGGAAACCCCTGCCTCGTGCGGGGCTGTCGGGAATAGTAAATGAGCTCAGCAAAGCCCTCAGGTGGTGTCTGGCGGGTGACGCATGTTTTCGTGCATTGATTGTTTACCGAGAGGCACCAGAACTGGCTCCAGCTATTTTTTTCCAAGTGTCCAGGCGGAATGCAGAGCGGGGCTCCCCTCCTCCACCCCCGATCCCGGCCTCCGGTTATCTGGGTGAGGCAGAGGCGGGAACGTGGCCGCCCAGGGGCAGGGATGACGGGGAGAATGTGCTGTCCCCTCCCCTGCTCCGCGCCACCAAATATGTCCATGCCGTCCGATGCCTGGTCAACGGCCACCCCGGGCGGCCGTCTCCTGGCCAGACCTGGGGCTCACCGGCTAATTTTAGAAATGACTTGTCGGCTCAGCTGCTGCCATCACATTGGCGCAGAGGGAGGGTGTGGGGAGGACGGGGAGGAGCAGGCAGGGAAGGGGATGTGGGTGGGGGTGTTCCTGACATTTCTCCTTCGCCCCTGCCGTCCGGACTTGGTGGGGTCTCTGCGCTGCCACCCGGGGAGATCTCTCGGGCCGGGGTGGTTCTCGTGACCCGTGGCCTCGTGCGGAGAAAGGTACCGTGGGACCAGGTTTCATGATGGGCACCCTGCGAGACACTGGGCATAATTTTCCAGAATGTGCTTTTGGGGGCTGGGGCGGCGGCGGGTGTCGGGGCCTCTCCGGCTGCGCGGCCTCCGATCGCCCGAACGGGCCACTCACAAAGCACGGGTCTTTCGTGGAAGGATCTTAGAGCAAAATTCTGGGGCGAGCGGACTCTTCTAAGGGTCCCTCTGGCCTGCCGGGCCCCAGCTGTCGGCTGGTCATTTTTAAAAATACACTGGGGGTCAGGATACCCTGCGGCTGGAATGTTAGCCGACACGTGTTCAGGGGTCAGGGTTCCCCTGCACTGCCAGCGATTCCTGGGAGGGGGTCCCCGTGTCCGCCCCCAGATCCCCCAGCCTCGGCCTGGGTGCTGGCTTGGTGCTGCAAGGAGCATGTGCGCTGGGGGAGGGGACGCTGTCGGGACAAAGGCTGGCGTCTCCTGCGGTGCTGACTTGATCCCTGGCCCCAGGAGGTGTTTTCTGTGGCCGCGGGTCACCGGGCGTCTGTTTGAATGGAGACGTTTCAGGCCCCCCCCCCCCCCCCCCCCCCCCGCGATGGGGCCGGGAGGGGCCGGGCGCTAGTGCAAGGCCCGCAGCAGCTGCAGCACAGGCCTGTGGCTCCGGCGGGCCCTCTGGGCCGTGCTTCTAGAAGCGGCTGGGGAGGAAGCCCAGCCGGTTCCCAGCCCCTGGTCTGGCCCTGACCCACCAGAGCCCCGGGCGTCCATCCCCCAGGGCCTGGGAAACCGGGCTCTTACTTTCCCTTTGGGGCCGGCCGGCCGGGGAGCCACCTGCCCTGTTGGAGGCACTGGCTCCCGGAGGCTGAGCGCCCGCTCGGGCTGTGAGTGTGCAACACGGGGGTGGTCTCTTGGACTGTTGTTCTGCTTCTGGCCTGAGCTGTGTGCTCTCTGAGTAATGGGTCAGTGTGGGCTCGGGGAGGTGAGCCCCCCGATGTGAGTTGGCTGCGTCGAGGCGGCTACAGGTGGGTTCTGGAACATAACAGAAACAGGAGGCCTGGGCTGGGGAGGGAAGGAAGAGGAGGAAGGGCAGAGTGGCTCGGTCTCCTGACTTCCGAGGGGCTGCCTGTCGTCGATGAATAAATATTTGGTGCCACCTGCACACAGGCCTGGTCACCTTGAGTAGCCCAGCTCGGGCTCCGCTGACTCTGTGACCTCAGACAAGTCCCTCCCCTGCTCCAGTGTCCCCTTCCAAACCTGAGGGGGTTGGGTGCAGCTCTCCCCGAGCGGTCTTCCGGGACCCAGGCTCTGGGCCCGCACACTTCTCCAAGTGCAGGGCTTCGGCCTCACCTGTGGGTCTGTCTTTCTTTTTTTCTTTCTTTCTTTCTTTCTTTCTTTCTTTCTTTCTTTCTTTCTTCCTTCCTTCCTTCCTTCCTTCCTTCCTTCCTTCTTCTTCTTTCTTTCTTTCTTTCTTTCTTTCTTTCTTTCTTTCTTTCTTAAAAAGACTTTATGTATTTATTCATGAGAGACACAGACAGAGACAGAGACAGAGGCAGAGGGAGCTCAGTGTGGGACTCAATCCCAGGACCCCCGGATCACAACCGGAGCTGAAGGGAGATGCTCAACCACTGAGCCACCCGGGCGCCCCACCTGTGGGCCTTTCAATTGCAGATGCCCCAGCTTGCCTGAGACCTACAGAACAGTCTTTGAGGACAGGAGCCCAGAAAGCCACAGATTTCATACCTCACAGGCGGTCCTGGTGCCCACCCAAGCTGGAGACCTGCCTTTCCTCTGGTGCGAGCTAAGAAAGCCACAGAGGAGGCAGCTCAGAAGCCCCCTCCCCTTGTCAAAAGTCAGTGCCTAGGGGCACCTGGGTGGCTTAGTGGTTTAGCGCCGCCTTCAGCCCAGGGTGTGATCCGGGGGTCCTGGGATCGAGTCCTACATTGGGCGCCCCGCAGGGAGCCTGCTTCTCCCTCTGCTTGTGTCTCTGCCTCTCTCTGTGTGTCTCTTATGAATAAATAAATAAAAGCTTAAAAAAAAAGTCAGTGTCTAGTTGCATGAACAGGGAGGACAGGCACAGGGCTTTATTCAGGCCAGGTTCTTGCAAAATATCTGAGAGCCAGTGTCACCCAGGGGAAAAAGATTTAGCCCTTCTGGTGGCACTTCAAGATGAAAACAGGAGGCCCCAAAGCCGAAGGGACTTCCTGGCCTGCTGAAAGAACAGGAACTCTAGCTGTTTCTACTAGGCCATGATGAGACAGCCCTTTAGTGCCTGGCTCACCTAGTGGATAAAAACAACTGTCTGAATGGTCCTTTTTTTTTTTTTTAAGATTTATTTATTTATTTTAGAGAATGAGAGAATGGGCATGAGTGGGAGGGGCAGAGGGAGAGGGAGACTCTTCAGCAGACTCCACACTGAGCGCAGAGCCCATCACGGGGCTTGATCTCACGGCCCTGAGATCATGACCTGAGCTGAAACCAAGAATCAGGACATTTGACCAACTGAGCCACCCTGGCTCCCTGGAATGGTCCATTGTAAGCAGGTAGTTAGTTGCTGTGGTACATGGCCTATCCTTGATATTTTTTAAGTTTTTATTTTAATTCCAGCTAGTTAGCATTAAATGTCATAATAATTTCCATTGATTTTTTTATTAACAAACCTTATTTTTTATTTTTATTTATTTATTTAAAAAATATTTTATTTATTTATTCATGAGAGACACAGGCAGAGGGAGAAGCAGGCTCCATGCGGTGAGCCCGATGTGGGACTCCATCTCGGGACTCCAGGATCACGCCCTGGGCTGAAGGCAGAAGCTCAATCGCTGAGCCACCCAGGCGCCCCATAAACTTTATTTTTTAGAGTCGTTTCAGGTTCACAGCAAAATTGAGAGGAAGGTAACATAGGTTTCCCACATACCCTATGTCCCCACCATTTATAGCCTGGCCCCACTATCCATATCCCGCACCAGAGCAGGACATCTGATCGAGTGGATGAAGCTGCAGGGACACGTCATCATCACCCAGAGTCCATGGTTGACATTAGGGCTCATCCTTGGTGGTGGACATTCTAAGGGTTGGGGCAAATGTATACTGACGTGGATCCATCAGAGCCATTGCCATATGATGCAGAGCATCTTCACTGTCTTCTGTGCTCCGTCTGAGCATCCCTCACATCCCCAAACCCCGGCAACCACTGATTTTTTACTCTCTCCATACTCGTGCTTTTTCCAGAATGCCGTATACTTGGGATCACAGAGCATGCAGCTTTTTCAGATTGGCTTTGTGACATGCATTTAGGGTTCCTCCCTGCCTTTTCATGGTACCCTTGTACCACGTGACTGTAAAACTGAATTATTTGCAAAATGGAGCAAGTGGGTTTGAAACAAGTGGAGGGACCCCGGGTCCTACCAGACCCAGTCCCGTCTGTGGTACAGAGACGGGAAACAACTTGCTCAAGAACACACAGCTTTGCAGTGCCAGCAGTGGGTTTTGAACAGTCCCTGCTATCACGGCTGGCATTGGGGACCAGCCTAGGGCTCCCCATATTGGGAATAGTAACCCTATTGTCCCTTTTACCCACACCCTCAAAGCCTTCTCTATCCTCATTCTTCAAACCTCAAAGGAAAGGGTTAAATCTTAGGTCCTGGGGCACCTGGGTGGCTCAGTGGTTGAGCATCTGCCTTCGACTCAGGTCATGATCCTGGGGTCCTGGGATCGAGTCCCACATCGGGGCCCCGCAAGGAGCCTGCTTCTCCCTCTGTCTGTGTCTCTCCCTCTCTCTGCGTCTCATGAATAAATAAATAAAATCTTGGGTAGCCCCGGTGGTGCAGCGGTTTAGTGCTGCCTGCAGCCCGGGGTGTGATCCTGGAGACCCAGGATCGAGTCCCACATCAGGCTCCCTGTATGGAGCCTGCGTCTCCCTCTTCCTGTGTCTCTGCCTCTCTCTCTCTGTGTGTCTCTATGAATAAATAAATAAAATCTTTTTTAAAAAAATAAAATAAAAATTTTAAAAAACATAAATCTTAGGTCTTGTGTCAACAGAGGCAGCAAGTATGATCCTTAGTCACCAAACAAGGTCTTTGGGATGAGAGCTCACAGCAGGGGGAGGGGGAGGTATTGTGTAACTATCAAGACAGATGTCTTTGTGTGTCTCTGTCACACACACACACACACACACACACACACACACACCCCATTCTGTCTGAAGGATCCAGAGGCACCCTCGGCTTCATCTGAATCACCTCCTCCTGGACATGACTCACCCAGCTCCGTGATTTTCCTTTTCTGCTCTGCTTCACACCGAGCCTCTCTCTAATGCTTCATTCCTTTTAAGAACTACAGTTTTGGAGAATGATCAAAAGGTCCCCAGGAATCTGCAAGTTGGGCTCCCCAAATACCTGGCCAATACGCATAGGTCAGGGAAACAGGAATTTCGAGGTCCCAAGAGAATGTTTCCCGACCCGTAAAAGACCAAATGCGTTTTCAGCTGCTTTGTGGGTACCAGCTGGGGTTTGAGTTTCAATTTCATGGAGGGCAACTGGATTAACTGTTGAGTTGAGAGAGGGAGAGAGAGAGAGAGGCAGTTGCTCAGTGGGATTAAATGTCTCATTGGTGCTGGATATTCCTGTGAGTTTGGGCATGAGTGATTGGCCCCATTTTACAGATCAAGAAGTGACATTTAGAGGCTGAAGTGCCCCAGTGGCATGCAGAATGAAATGAAACCGAGACTCTGCTTTTCTGCTGGAGACGGAATCTTTATTCTCATGTAATAAAATAAACAACAGGAGCTCAGATAGGAAATTACTCCATGCTGTTTGGACAGATAACAGAGTCCATTCACACTCATGACCTTGATGAACCCATTGATAATCCTTGCGAGGTGGGTATTTCAGTTCTACTGACAAGGAAATTGAGAATCAGAGAGTGTTGTAGCTTCCCAAAGGCACAGAGCTACTAGGTGGTGATAGATCCAAGAATTTCTTTTCTTTTGTCACTAACAGGTCAGTTTTTTTTTCTTAT